GCCCCCCCCACTATCCCGGGGCCCCCCCAAAATCCCAAACCCCGCCCCTCCCCCCCCCCCTTTGGCACCTTATCGGCATCGCAGCGACATTCCAGCCTGGGGGAGGGGCGGGCGTGCAAGGGGGCGGGGCCTGGGTGCCGGCGTGAGTGTGCAAGGGAGGGGCCTGGTGCAATGGTGAGCGTGCAAAAGGATCCCTGTGCAATGGTGGGTGTGTAATGGGGGGTCTGTGCAATGGTGAGCGTGCAAAAGGATCCCTGTGCAATGGTGAGCGTGCAAATGGATCCTCGTGCAAATCTGAGCGTGCAAAAGGATCCCTGTGCAATGGTGGGTGTGCAATGGGGGGTCTGTGCAATTCTAAGTGTGCAAAGGATTGTCCTTGAGCAGGTGTGAGTGTGCAAATGGGTCCCCGTGCAATGGCGAGTGTGCGAGCCCCCCCTTGTGCAATTCTGAGCGTGCAAAGGACTCCTCATTCAGTTGTGAGTGTGCAAATGGGTCCCCGTTCAATTCTGAGTGTGCAAATGGGTCCCTGTGCAGTTGTGAGTGTGCAAGGCCCACCCTTGTGCAATGGCGAGCATGCAAATGGCTCCCTGTGCAATTCTGAGCGTGCAAATGGATCCTCGTGCAAATCTGAGTGTGCAAGGCCCCCCCTCGTGCAAGGCCCGGCACTGGGGGCGATCCTCGTGCAAAACCCCCCCTTGCACACCCCTGACCCCGCCCCTTGCACACCCACGGCCCCTCCCCCGCCCCGTTGCACACCCACGCCCCCTCCCCCCCGCCCCGTCTCACGCTCTGCCACGCCCACCGAGCGTGCGAGGGGCGGGGCCCTGGCACGGGGATGGGCTGTGCTGGTGCGAGGCGGGCACGCGAGCGAGCAAATCCGCGTGCAAGGATCGTCCCCTGTGCAAGGACCACGTGTGAGCGAGCAAATCCACGTGCAAGGGCATCGTCCTCGCACGAGGATCCTCGTGCAAAACGTGCGTGCAAGGATCACCTTCATGAAAGGATCCTCGTGCAAGGGCCCTCGCGCGAGGATCATTCGCGTGCAAGGATCCTCGTGCAAGGGACATTCCTCGTGCAAGGATGATCCTCGTGCAAGGGTCCTTGTGCAAGGGACGTTCCCCCTGCAAAACGCGGCGTGCAAGGACCATCCTCGTGCAAATTGACCTGTGCAAAGTGCCGTGTGCAAGGATCGCCCTTGTGCGAGGATGATCCTCGTGTAAATCGTCCTCGTGAAAAGCGCGCGTGCAAGGATCCTCCTCGTGCAAGGATGATCCTCGTGCAAGGGACGTTCCTCCTTCAAAATGCGCGTGCAAGGATCGTCCATGTGCAAGGATCCTCGTGCAAGGGACGTTCCTCATCCAAGGATCCTTGTGCAAGGATGGTCCTCGTGCAAATTGTCCTCGTGCAAAGTGAGTGTGCAAGGATCACCTTCATGAAGGGATCCTCGTGCAAGGGAGGTTCCTTGTGCAAGGGCCCTCGCGCGGGGGATCATCCGCGTGCAGGGATGTGGTGTGCAAGGATCCGCGTGCAAGGGACGATCCATGTGCAAGGATCCACGTGCAAGGGACGTTCCTCATCCAAGGATCCTTGTGCAAGAGCCCTTGTACAAGGATGATCCTCGTGCAAGGCACGTGTCCCCTGCAAATGCGCGTGCAAGGATGATCCTCGTGCAAGGATCCTCGTGCAAATTGTCCTCGTGCAAAGTGCGCGTGCAAGGATCGCCCTCGTGCAAGCCCCGCCCTCGTGCAAGCCCCGCCCTCGTGCAAGCCCCGCCCCTCTCCCCGCCGCCCCTCCCCCCCCGCGGCCCCTCCCCCCTTTTGCACTTTCGTGGCCGCGTTTGCTACTGACGGACCCCCCCGCCCCTCCCCCACTGTCCCCAGTGTCCCCAATGTCCCCAATGTCCCCCAATGTCCCCTCCCCCCCTCCCGAGCGCACTTTAGGGGGCAAACCGAACGGAAAAGGGCAAAAAACGGAGCGGGAAAAAAAAAAAAAAAACGGGGACGGGAGGGGGGGGGGGGGAGAGAGGAGACCCAGAGGGGACATCGGGGGGGGGGGGGGGGGGGTGGCACCAAAAATGGGGCGGGGACACCCGGGGGACACCGAGAGTGACAGCCAGGGGTGGCCACGAGGGGGCGGCACCAAGGAGGTGGCCCTGGGGGTGTCCCCAAAGGGGTGGCCCCATTGAGGGTGGTCCCCAAGGGGATGGCCCTGTCCCCACTGGGATGTCCCCAAGGGGATGGCCCTGTCCCCATTGGGATGTCCCCAAGGAGGTGACCCCATGGATGTCCCCACTGGGATGTCCCCACTGGGATGTCCCCCACAGTTGTTCCCCCCCCATGGATGTCCCCACCCTCCCTGTGTGTCCCATGGCGTCCGTCCCCTCCAGGATGTCCCATTTGGGATGTCCCCATAGGGGTGGTCCCCTCTGGGATGTCCCCTCCAGGATGTCCCCCTCCAGGATGTCCCCATGGGGATGTCCCCTTTGGGGTGTCCCCTCGGGGTGTCCCATGGGTGTGTCCCCTCCAGGATGTCCCCATGGGGATGTCCCCCTTGGGGTGTCCCCTCTGGGATGTCCCCTCTGGGATGTCCCCATGAGGGAGGTGTCCCTCGGGGGTGTCCCCATGGGGGTGTCCCCCTCGGGGGGTGTCCCCTCGGGGGTGTCCCCATGAGGGAGGTGTCCCCCCCAGGATGTCCCCTTTGGGATGTCCCCATGAGGGAGGTGTCCCCTCGGGGGTGTCCCCATGGGTGTGTCCCCTCCGGGATGTCCCATTTGGGGTGTCCCCTCGGGGGTGTCCCCATGGGTGTGTCCCCTCCGGGATGTCCCCTCGGGGGTGTCCCCTCCGGGGTGTCCCCATGGGGGTGTCCCCATGGGTGTGTGTCCCCTCCAGGATGTCCCCATTTGGGATGTCCCCATGAGGGAGGTGTCCCCGGGGGTGGCGGGGGGGGTCCCCGGGGGTGTCCCCCACGGCACGGCGGGGGTGGCAGCGGTGACAAATGTCCACTATTTATCTGCATCAGTGAGTGGTTAGAGACGCCAATAAACACCGTAGAGCTGAGCTGGCTGCGGGGACAGCGGGGACACTTGGGGACATTGGAAGGATTGGGGACGCTGGGGGACGTTGGGAACATTGGGGATGTTGTGGGGATTGGGGACGTTGGGAACATTGGGGACATTGGGGGGGACATTGGAGGGATTGGGGGCATTGGAGGGGCAATGGGTGCATTGGGGACACTGGGGGACATTTGGGGACATTGAGGGGATTGGGGATGTTGAGGGATTGGGGACATTGGGGACACTTGGGGACATTGGGAGGGATTGGGACATTTGGGGGATTGGGGACAGTGGGGGGACATTGGGGGGATTGGGGGGCAGTGTGGGTGCACTGGGGACACTGGGGACACTTGGGTACATTGGGAGGGATTGGGGACATTTGGGGACATTGGGGACATTTGGGGGATTGGGGACATTTGGGGACAGTGGGGACATCAGGGACATTTGGAGACATCAGGGACACTTGGGGGACATCGGGGACATTTGGGGACATCGGGGTATGAGGGGGGGACAGGAGGGGCTGTTGGGGACATTGAGGACAACACTGGGGGGACATTGGGGACATGGGGGGGGGGGGATGGTTTTCGGTGGGGGGTGGCACTGAGGGGGACAACCGGGGGGTGACATCGGGGGGTCCCCCAAATCCAGACCCCCCCACGGAGCAGCAACAACCACGATTTATTGTACACGAAGGGGGGGGGAAGGGGAGGGGGACCCCCTTTTTTTGGGGGGGGTTCCCCATTTTTTGGGGGGGTTCCCCCATTTTTTTGATGTTCCCCCATTTTTTGGGGGGGGTCCCTGAGTCACGGTGGGAGGGGAGGGGGGCCATGAGGTAAATTGTGGGGGGATCCCCCCAGGTGGCACCGAGATGGGGGGGGGGCCCTGAGGTTTGGGGGGTCCCTCGAGTTTTTGGGGTCTCTTTTTTTTTGGGGGGGGCGTTGATTTTTTGGGGGGTTCCTCCTTTTTGTCAGCCCCCCATTCCAGACACTCTAAAAAAGGTGGGGGGGGGGGGACACCCCAAATTTGGGCCCCTTCGGGATGGAGCCCCCCCCAGTTTTAGAGGCCCCACAATTCACGCGTCCCCCCCATCCCTCCCCCCCAAATTTTGGGGCGCCCAATCCCTCTTACAACAGGTGAAGGACGCCCCAAAATTTTGGGGTGCCCAATCCCGCTCCCAGCAGATGGAGCCACCCCCCCCCAAATTTCAGGGGTCCCTCCCCTCACACCATGTGTAAAACCCCCCCAAATTTCGGGGTGCCCCTCCCAAATTTCGGGGTCCCCTCCCCTCACACCAGATGGAATCCCCCCCAAATTTTGGGGCTCCCCTCACACCATGTGTAGAACCCCCTCCCAAACTTTTGGGGTCTCCCCCCTCACACCAGATGGACCCCACAAATTTCGGGGTCCCCCCACTCACAACAAATGGAATCCCCAAATTTCAGGGTCCCCCCACTCACACCAGATGGGACCCCCCAGATTTCAGGGTGCCCCCCCTCACACCAGATGGACCCCCCAAATTTCGGGGTCCCCCCCGCTCACACCAGATGAAATCCCCCCCAAATTTCGGGGTGCCCCCACTCACACAACAAATGGAATCCCCAAATTTCAGGGTCCCCCCCTTTCACACCAGATGGAATCCCCCCCCTCAAATTTCGGGGGTCCCCCCCCCTCAACTGCACATGGACCCCCCAAATTTCAGGGTCTCCCCGCTCACACCAGATGGAATCACCCCCAAATTTTGGGGTCCCCCCTCTCACAACCATGTGTAGAACCCCCTCCAAAAATTTCGGGGTGCCCCCTCACACCACCTTTAAAACCCCCCCAAATTTCAGGGTGCCCACCCTCCACCAGATGGAATCCCCCCCCCTCAAATTTCGGGGTGCCCCCCACTCACTGCACATGGACCCCCCATATTTCGGGGTGCCCCCCCCATATTTCGGGGCGCCCCTCACAGCAGCCGGCACGTCGAGGACTTTCCCCCTGCCCCGGCCGCCCCCCGCGGCGCTGGGGTCCAGGTCGGGGGGCAGCGTCCCCGGGGCCCCCCACACGTTGAGCTCCTCGAAGACGCCGGTCTCGATCAGCTCCTCCTGCCAGGGGATGGGCACCGTGCCCGAGGCGAAGGCGTCGCACAGCGCCGCGTCCCCCGCGTCCAGCTCCACGCCCTTCACCGTCGAGAACGCCCCCCACGTCCCCCAGGTCCTTGGCGTACACCGCGGCGCGGGTCCGGCACGAACGGCGGCGGCACCAGACCTTGCACCAAAATTAACCCCCGTTAATTCTGGGGTCGCCACAGAGAGACTTGATGGCCCCAGTGTGGGCCGGGAACCACGGGAACCCCAAGGAACCTCCAGGAACCCCAAGGAACCCCCAGGAACCCCAAAGAACCTCCGGGAAGCCCCAAGGAACATCTGAGGAACTTCCAATAACCTCCCCAGAAACCTCCTCAGACCAACAGGAACACCCCAAAGTTCATCCCATGGCTCCCAGAAACCTCCGAGTATAGCCCAGTATAGCCCAGTAACCATGGGAACCCCCAGGAACTCCAGGAACCCCAAGGAACATCTGAGAACTTCCAAAAAACCTCCCCAGAACCTCCAGGAACTCCTCAAAGTTCATCCCACGGCTCCCAAGAGTCAGTGGAAACCCCATTGTTGGGACCTCCAACATTTGTTGGAGACCCCAAAAACCCAATGGAGACCCCAACTCTTGACCACCCAATGTCCTTTGAGGACCCCAGTTCTGGAGAACCCAAAACCCAATGGAGACCCCCAAAACTCAATGGAGACCCCAACCCTTGGCCACCCACTGCCCCACCAAGCCCCACCTCCACCACCACCACCCCTTGGAGACCCCAAAACCCAACCCTTGACCCCCCTGGAGACCCTAAAACCCAATGGAGACCCTAAAACCCAATGGAGACCTCAACTCTTGACCACCCCAACATCCTTTGAGGACCCCCAATTCTGGAGACCCCAATGGAGACCCCAAAACCCAATGGAGATCCCAAAACTCATTGAAAGACCCCAACTCTTGACCACCCAGCATCCCCTGGGAGACCCCAAGAACCCAATGGAGACCCCAAAACCCAATGGAGACCTCCAACCCTTGACCACCCAACACTCAATGGAGACCCCAACACTCAATGGAGACCCCAACCCTTGACCACCCAACACTCAATGAAGACACCAAAACCCAATGGGGACCCTCAACTCTTGACCACCCAAAACCCAATGGAGACCCCAAAACCCAATGGAGACCCCAACCCTTGACCACCCAACACTCAATGGAGACCCCAACTCTTGACCCCCACCGCCCCCTGTAGACCCCCTGCCCGCCCCGGGATGCCCCCGCTGGGCGTTACCGGCCTCGAGACCGCCCCCAGTTGATGGTCCTGAAGAAGGGGTGGGCCTTGAGCTGGGCGCAGCCGTTGTCGCGGAAGCCCAGGCGGCCTGGGGGGTCCTTGGCCAGGAGCCCCTCGCAGGCCTCGCGCGCGGCCCCGCGCTGAACTTGTCCGAGTAGGGACACGGGGTCGTTCAGGATGCGCCGCGTCACCTCCTTGTTCTCCACCTGGTGGGGACAAAAAAGGTGGTGGTGGCAGGGGGTCCTTGGGGGTCACCTTTGTTGGAGGTTCTTGGGGGGGTTCCTTGGAGGTTCTTGGGAGGTTCTGAGGGACCCTTGGGGGGTTCTTGGGGGGTTCTGAGGGACCTTGGGGGATTCTTGGAGGTTCTAGGGGAGTTCTGAAGGTCCTCAGGGGGTTCCTTGGAGGTCCTCAGGGGGTTCCTTGGAGGTTCTCGGGGGGTTCTGAGGGACCTTGGGGGGGTTCCTTTGAGGTTCTGGGGGGGTTCTGAGGGACCTGAGGGTTTTTTTGGAGGTTCCTGGGAGGTTCTGGAGGCCCTGGGGGGTGTTCTTGGAGGTTTTTAGGGGGTTCTGAAGGTCCTCAGAGGGGCTCTTGGAGGTTCTAGGGGGGTTCTGAAGGTCCTCAGGGGTTTATTTGGAGGTTTTAGGGGGTTCTGGAGGTCCTAAGGGGGGGTTCCTTGGAGGTTCTTGGGGGGGTTCTTGGAGATTTTTGGGGGGTTCTGGAGGTCCTCAGAGGGGCTTCTTGGAGGTTCTGGGGGTTTCTGAAAGGACCTAGGGAGTTTCTTGGTGGTTTTAGAGGGTTTTCTGAGGGACTTTGGGGGATCCTTGGAGGTTCTTGGGGGGTTTCTGAGGGTCCTGGGAGGTTTCTGGGAACCCTGAGCTGAATTTCGAGGAGTTCCTGGTGGTCCTGGGGAGGTTCTGGGAGGTTTTGGAAGCTCTCAGATGTTTCCTGGGGGTTCTCGGGGTTCCTGGGCTGTACTGGTCTGTACTGGGGGCACTGGGGGGGCGCTGGGGTGGGGGTCACCTTCTCCCCCCGCCGGCGGAAGGGGCCCTTGGCCTCCAGCATCTCGTAGATGGTCACCCCCAGCGTGAAGTAATCGACCGACCAATCGTAGTCCTCGTTCTTGAGCAGCTCGGGGGCCATGAACCCTGCGGGGACATTGAGGGGACAGGTGACACGGGAGGGACAGGAGACCCCCAGTGTCCCCCCAGTGTCCCCCCAGTGTCCCCCCAGTGTCCCCTGTCCCCACCTGGGGTCCCAGCGTAGCCGCGGGTTTTTGCTCTCTCCATCCTTGAGCTCCACGGCCAAGCCCATGTCGGACAGACGGACGTGACCTGGGGACAAGTGACCACCGGTGACCACCGGTGGACCATCAATGACCACCAATGACCACCGGTGAACATTGGTAACCATCAGTGATGATCAGTGACCACCAGTGACCATCAGTGACCACCAGTGACCACCATGTCCCCATGTCCCCCTCATTTCCCACATCCCTCAATGTCCCCAAATGTCCAACATCCCCAACATCTCCAATATCCCAAACATCTCCAATGTCCCCCAATGTCCCCAACGCCCCCAGTGTCCTCACTGTCCCGCTGTCCCTCCAATGTCCATAATGTCCCCAACGCGCCCCCCAATGTCCCCAATGCCCCCAGTGTCCCCGATGTCCCCACCGGCGTCGTCCAGCAGGACGTTTCTCGGGTTTGAGGTCGCGGTAGACGATGCGGGTGCTGGTGCAGGTGCTCCAGCCCCAGCAGGATCTGCGCCGTGTAGAAAAACGGCGCGCGGCTCCGCGAAGCCCGGGTTCTCCTCGTCCACGTTGTAGATGTGGTACCTGGGGACAGCGGGGACATTGGGGACACCGGGGACATCGGGGACATCAGGGACGTTGGGGACACTGGGGACAGCAGGGACATTGGGGACACCGGGGACATCGGGGACATTGGGGACACTGGGGACATAGGGGACGTTGGGGACACTGGGGACATCGGGGACATTGGGGATATTGTGGTACCTGGGGACACCGCGGGGACAGGGGAGGGACACCATCAATGTGTGTGGCACCAGCACAGCGCCAGGGTCACACCAGGGTCACAGCAAGGTGACACCAAAGCCATGGCAGGGTCACACCAGGGTCACAGCAAGGTGACACCAAAGCCATGCCAGGGTCACACCAGGGTCACACCAAGGTGACACCAAAGCCATGCCAGGGTCACACCAGGGTCACACCAAGGTGACACCAAAGCCATGCCAAGGTCACACCAGGATCAAATCAAGGCCACATCAAGGTCACACCAGGGTCACACCAAGATCGCACCAAGGCCATGCCAGACCATGCCAAGGCCCCTCCAAGGCCACAATGCGGTCACACCAAGATCACACCGGGGTCACCCCAAGGCCACCCCAAGGCCACCCCGCTGTCCCCCAGGGCCACCGCAGCCGCGTACCGCAGGTCGCCGCCGTTCATGATGGTCATGACGAGGGCAGAGGTCGGTCTTGGTCTGGAAGGCGCAGGCCAGGGACACGATGAAGCGGCTGTGGACCCGTGCCAGGATCCGCTTCTCCACCAGCGCCGCCTGGGGGACACATTGGGGACACGCTGGGGGACACGCTGGGGACATGGGATGGCACCACCATGGACATGGAGTGGGGACAGGGACAGGGACAGGGACAGGGGACAGGGCCAGGGTGGCAGACACCAAGGGACAGACACAGGGACTGAGGGGACAGAGGGGCAGATCTGGGGACAGAGGGACATCCGAGGAACAACCATGGGCACAGAGGGGACAAAGGGCCACCCTTGGGGACGCCATTGGTGCCACCTTGGTACCACCATTGGGGACATCCCTGGGGACACCCTTGCTGCCACCCTTGGGACACCCTTGGGACACCCTTGGTGCCACCCTTGGGACACCCTTGGTGCCACCCTTGAGGTCACCCTTGGAGCCACCCTTGGTGCCACTCTTAGGACACCCTTGGGGCCACCATTGGTGCCACCACTGGGGACACCCTTGGAGCCACCCTTGGGACAACCCTTGCTGCCACCCTTGGGACACCCTTGGTGCCACCCTTGAGGTCACCCTTGGAGCCACCCTTGGGGCCACTCTTAGGACACCCTTGGGGCCACCATTGGTGCCACCACTGGGGACAACCCTTGGAGCCACCCTTGGGGCCACCATTGGTGCCACCCTTGGGGACACCCTTGGTGCCACCATTGCTGCCATCCTTAGGACACCCTTGGGGTGACCCTTGGTGCCACCCCTGAGGACACCCCTGAGGACAAAGGGCCACTCTTGTGCCACCCTTGGTGCCACCCTTGGGCCCCTCACCTCGTATCCCTTGCGCTTCTTGAGGCGTTTCTTGTTGAGGCGTTTGTTGGCGTACATCTTGCCGGTGGCGCGGCGCTGGCAGGCGCAGACCTCGCCGAAGCCGCCCTTGCCCAGCACGCGGACTCGGCGAAGGCGTCGGCGTTGACGGCCTGGCTCTCGAGCCACTTGAACTGCACGAAGCGGCTGAACTCGGGCGAGCCCCGGTACGGCCCCCAGGCCGCCGCCTCCAGGTGTGCCAGCAGCTCCTGCCGCGCCGGCACGAAGGCGTCCACCCCGGCAGCGTCGAGCCTGAGGGCAGAGGGGAGGGACAGGGGGTGTCACGGCCGCTGTTGGGTGTCATGGCTGCCGTTGAGGTGTCATGGCTGCCGTTGGGGTGTCATGGCCGCCGTTGGGGTGTCATGGCCACCGAGATTGTGATGGACATGGTTTGGGGTGTCATGGCTGCCAATACCAACATGGCTGCCACTGGGGTGTCATGGCCGCCATTGGGGTGACATGGCTGCCATTGGGGTGTCATGGCTGCCAACATCATCATGGCCACCATTGGGGTGTCACGGCCACCGAGGTCGTCTTGGACATGGTTGGGGGTGTCATGGCTGCCAATACCAACATGGCTGCCATTGGGGTATCATGGCCGCCATTGGGGTGTCATGGCCACCGTTGAGGTGTCATGGCTGCTGTTGGGGGTATCATGGCCACCGAGGTCGTCATGGACATGGTTGGGGTGTCATGGCTGCCAATACCAACATGGCTGCCACTGGGGTGTCATGGCTGCCATTGGGGTGTCATGGCTGCCAACATCATCATGGCCACCATTGGGGGTGTCACGGCCACCGAGGTCGTCATGGACATGGTTGGGGTGTCATGGCCGCCATTCGGGTGTCATGGACATGGTTGGGGTATCATGGCTGCCAATACCAACATGCCGCACATTGGGGTGTCATGGCCACCATTGGGGTGTCATGGCCACCATTGGGGTGTCATGGACATGGTTGGGGTATCATGGCTGCCAATACCAACATGGCTGCCATTGGGGTGTGATGGCCGCCATTGGGGTGTCATGGCCACCGTTGGGGTGTCATGGCTGCTGTTGGGGGTATCATGGCCACCGAGGTCGTCATGGACATGGTTGGGGTGTCATGGCCGCCGTTGAGGTATCATGGCCGCTGTTGGGGGTGCCATGTCAGCCATGTTGATGTTACAACTGCCATATTGGAGCCGTGTCAGCCATATTGGTGCCGTGTCAGCCATATTGGAGCTGTGCCAGCCATGTTAGAGCCGTGTCAGCCATATTGGAGCCACGTCAGCCATATCAATCTCACGGCCGCCATATTGGAGCCATGTCAGCCATATTTGCATCATGGCCGCCATATTGGCACTATGTCCGCCATATTGGAGCCACGTCAGCCATTTCCACCTCACGGCCGCCATATTGGCACTATATCCGCCATATTGGAGCCGCGTTCAGCCATATTGGAGCTACGTCAGCCATATCAATCTCATGGCTGCCATATTGGCACTATGTCCGTCATATTGGAGCCACGTCAGCCATTTCCACCTCACGGCCGCCATATTGGCACTATGTCCACCATATTGGAGCCATGTCAGCCATATTGATCTCACGGCCGCCATATTGGAGCCGTGTCAGCCATATTTGCATCACAGCTACCATATTGGAGCCATGTCAGCCATATTGGAGCCACGTCAGCCATATCAATCTCATGGCCGCCATATTGGCACTATGTCCGCCATATTGGAGCCACGTCAGCCATATCGATCTCACGGCCGCCATATTGGAGCCGTGTCAGCCATATTGGAGCCACATCAAGCATATTGGAGCCGTGTCAGCCATATTGGAGCCGTGTCAGCCATATTGATCTCATGGCCGCCATATTGGAGCCGTGTCAGCCATATTTGCATCACAGCTACCATATTGGAGCCGTGTCAGCCATATTGATCTCATGGCCGCCATATTGGAGCCGTGTCAGCCATATTTGCATCACAGCTACCATATTGGAGCCATGTCAGCCATATTGGAGCCGTGTCAGCCATATTGGAGCCACGTCAGCCATATCAATCTCATGGCCCGCCATATTGGCACTATGTCCGCCATATTGGAGCCACGTCCGCCATATCGATCTCACGGCCGCCATATTGGAGCCGTGTCAGCCATATTGGAGCCACATCAGCCATATTGGAGCCGTGTCAGCCATATTGATCTCACGGACCGCCATATTGGAGCCGTGTCAGCCATATTTGCATCACGGCCGCCATACTGCCACCCACCCCCAGCCCCTCACCTGTGGGCGGCGCGGTGGCGGCGGCGCTGAGGAAGCCGCAGTGCTCCGACCCTCCCGGCGTGAAGAACCGGCTCCGCAGCTTCTTGGCCGCCGCATCCCTCTCAGCGTCCTCGCACTGCTCGAAGGCCTCGATCTCCGCCCACAACCGCCCCGGCCGCCGCGAACTCGGCCGAACCTTCCAGAAACCTCCGGAACAGCAGCTTCCCGATGGGCTGCTCCACGCACTGCCACCGGAACGACGTCTCCTGGCCGCCATCTTGGGTGCGGCCGGGCGGGGCTTCCGTTGGGGGCGCCGGGACCCCCCGTTCTGGGTGCCGGCGGTGCCGCCCAGTTGGGCGCGCAGGGCCTCGCACTGGGAGATGTGGGGCAGGCGGAGCCGCGCCTTGGAGCGCCGGTCCTTGCTGCCGCCGCCGGGGCCGCCGCGCGCCGACACGTAGGCGGAGTTGGCCACCACGGTCTCCAGACCCCCGATGTCCATGGCTGGTGGGGGGGACACTGGTGGACTGGGTGGCACTGGTGGGGATGTGCTGGGGGGAGTTTTGGGGTATGGGGGGGTTTTGGGGGCGCTCATGGGAAACAGGGGGGGGGCTGGGGCTGGGGGGAGTGGGGGGGAGCCCCTCATTGGACACATTGGGGGGTTCTGGGGGGTGTCTGGGGGTCCTTCTTGGGCCAAATAGGGGAGTCTGGGGGGTCTGGGGGTCCCTCATGTGACAAATGGGGGGGGTCTGGGGGATCTGGGGGTCCCTTGTATGACACGGGGGGGGGGGGGGGGGGGGTCTGGGGGTCCCTCCTGTAACAAATGGAGGGGTCTGGGGGGGTCCCTCCTGTGCCTTGTGGGGGGGTCTGGGGGGGTCCCTCCTGTTACACATGGGGGGGCTCTGGGGGGAGCCCCTGTGTGACAAATGGGGGCGGGGTCTGGGGGGTCTCTCGTGCGCTACACGAGGATGTGACCACGCCCCCTCCCCACCCCCGGGTAAGGGGGGGGGGGGGGTTCGCGGCTCTTAAAGGGCCCGCGCTATAATTAGCTAATTAGCGTAAGCGGCTCAGCGCGTGCCCTAAGCCGCTTTCGGGGCCCCTCGCACGAGATTTCCCCCCCCCCCCCCCGGAACTCCCCCCCCCACCACCGCGGGAATCCCGACAGGCCCCGGGGCCGCGGGGGGCGATGGGAACGGGGTCACATCCCCCCCCCCCCAAAAAAAAGCGGGCCGCAAAGGATTCTGGGAGAGACACCCCCCTAAAATGGGGTGGGTCCTATGGGGGGTGATGAGGAGGGGGAGGGGGTGGGGGAGGGACCATCCACACCCCTCCCCCCCCCGCCTTAGCCCCCGCCCCTTCAGGTGCCCAGGTGACCCCTCCCCTTCCAGAGCCCCCCCCCCCTCACCCTGGGGACCCCCCCCCAGGATCTCCCCCTGTCGGAGACCCCCCCCGCCATGACCCCAGACCCCCTGGGAGACCCCTGACCTCTGACCCCACCCTGACACCCCCCCCCACATCCAGGACCTCCCATTGGGGACCTCCCCCCCTCCGGGACCCCCCTCCCCACTCACCCCGGGGGGGTCTCAGGTGTCCAGGACCCTCCCCCCCCCCTCCTCCTCCCCCATGAAGACCCCTCCCCCCCCCTTGAAGACCCCCACCCCCTGTGACCCCCCCCCCCCAAAGGGACCCCAACCTTTGACCCCAGGGACCCAAATCTGGGGGAACCCCCCCCTTCCTGCGACCCCTCCCCCATTTCCCCCAGGGACCCCCAAACCTCCGAGACCCCCAGGGGCCATTCCGGACCCCCCCCCAATAACCCCCCCCCTTCATCCTTTAATAACCCCAGGAACCGCCCCCAGAAGCCCCCTGACCCCAAATCCCCCCCCGGTACCCGAGACCCCGCGACCCCCACCTTTGTGACCCCCCCCGGGGACTCCCGCACGAACCCCCACCCAAACCCCCCCCCATTTTATCCCTTAGAGCCCCCCCAACCCTCAGGGACCCCCCCAGAGCCCCCTGACCCCCAAATCCCCCCCGGTACCCGAGACCCCGCGACCCCCACCCTTGTGACCCCCCCCACCTCGGGACCCCGCCCCCCCCACGACCCCCGCCCCCCCCCCAGGGACCCCCCGTTCTCACCTGCGCAGCTGCCCCGGCCCGCGGCGGGTCCCGGTGCCCCGGGGCCGGATTAGCCCCGCCCGGGGATTAAAACAAATCCCCCGGGGGCGGCCGCCCCCGACCCCCCCCACCCCAAACCCCCCCCCCCCTCATTGATCCGGGGGAGCCGGGATCGCTGGGACCCCCCCGGAATGATCGCGGGACCCCCCCGGAATGATCGCGGGAACCCCCCCGAAATGATCGCGGGACCCCCCCCCGAAATGATCGCTGGGACCCCCCCGAAATGATCGCTGGGACCCCCCCGAAATGATCGCGGGGACCCCCCCCGAAATGATCGCTGGGACCCCCCCCGGAATGATCGCGGGACCCCCCCGGAATGATCGCGGGGACCCCCCCGAAATGATCGCTGGGACCCCCCCGAAATGATCGCGGGACCCCCCCCGAAATGATCGCGGGGACCCCCCCGAAATGATCGCGGGGACCCCCCCAATCCAATGAACATCGGGGGGATCAGGCAGCCGCGACCCCCCCCCCATTAACGCCCGGGGACCCCCCCAAAATTAGCCCCAGGGACCCCCCCTCAAATGATCCCGGAAGTCCCCTATTAACCCCCAGGGCCCCCCCAAATTAACCCTAAAAACCCCCCCCATTATACCCCAGGACCCCCCCAAATTAACCCCAAAGACCCCCCCAAATTAACCCCAGGGACCCCCCCCATTAATCCCGGGACCCCCCCCCTAAATTAGCCCCAAGGATCCCCCCCCATTAACCTCGGGGACCCCCCCTAAATTAACCCCAGGCCCCCCCCCAGTTTATCCCGGGGTGTCCCAGGACCCCCCCCCCTTAATCCTGAGATCCCGGGGGGACCCTCCCCCAATTCATCCCGGGTGGGGGGGAACTCAGGAATTCGGGACCCCCCCCATGCATCGGGGAATCCCCAGAAATTCGGGACCCCCCCCCCCCCGAAATTTGGGACCCCCCCCGGGATATTCGGGCCCCCCCCCCCCGAGAATTCAGGACCCCCCCCCCGAGAATTCAGGACCCCCCCACCCGGGAATTGGGGGACCCCCCCAGAAAATTTGGGGACCCCCGCCCCAAAAATTCCTGGGAATTCGGGATCCCTTTGATAGCTCGGGGAACCCCCGGGATATTCGGGACCCCCCCCAAAATTTGGACCCCCCCGCTAAATTCGGGACCCCCCAGAAAATTCGGGACCCCCCCCCCCCCCCGGTAAATTCGGGATCCCCCCAGAAATTCTGGACCCCCCCAGTAAATTCAGGACCCCCCCGGTAAATTTCTGCACCCCCCCCATTAATGGGGCCCCCCCCCGCGTTCCCGGTGCGGTTCCGGTGCGGGGGGGCCCCGGCGCTGGGGGGGTTTGGCGGCCGGGCCGGGCCGGGACGCGCCGTTACCGGGGAGCCGGGAGCGCCCGCCCGGGCACGCGGCGGCCCTTTCGGGCCCCCCCCGCCCCTTTTTGGGCCCCCCCGGGCCCTTTTTTGGGCCCCCCCCCCCTCCAAATTCCCGGAATGCTTTGGGGTCAGCGCGTCCTCCTGGATCCCCCCCCCCCAAAATCTTGAATTCTCCCATTGATACCTGGGAACCCCCCCCCCACTGCCCCGCCCTGGAATTTTGGGGATCCTGCGTGGAATTTTGGGGACCCCCCCCTGCCCAAAATCTGGGATCCCTCCGGACTCTTCAGCCCCCGCCCGCCCCAAACATTTGCGACCCCCCCCCCCCAAATTTTTGACACCCCCCCCTCCTCAAAATTCCTGAACCCCCCCCCCCCCCCCCCAAATTCTCAGGTGCCCCCCAAACATCCAGGACCCCGCCCCCGGGATTCCCGAGCCCCCCCCCCCCAGAACCCCCGAGCCCCCCCCCCCACTTCGAGGAGGGGTCTCCCCAGTTTGGGACTGGTTGAACTGGGAGCGAACTGGGAGCGTTGGGGTCTCCCCCGGGTGTGGGGGGGGGAGAAGGGAAGTGGGGGGCCGGACCTTGACCTCGAGTGACCCCGTGGTGCAAGCCCCGCCCCCAATTAGCCCCGCCCCCCGCTTTAATTATAGCAAAGCCTGGGTGGTCTGAGGGCTCCCAGTGCTCCCAGTATCCCCCAGTATCCTCTCCCAGTGCTCCCAGTAACCCCCAGTATCCTCTCCCAGTTCCCCCCAGTTTCCCAGTTCTCCCAGTTCCCCCAGTTCTCCCAGTATCCCCAGTATCTGCTCCCAGTGCTCCCAGTTCCCATTCCCAGTGCTCCCAGTATCCCCAGTATCCTCTCCCAGTTCCCCCAGTTCCCCCCAGTTCCCCCCAGCCGTTCCCGCGCGGGCCCTTTAAGAGCCCCCCCCACCACCCCCGGCCCCAAATCTCTCAATGGGGACGGTGGGAACCTCGCGGAGGCCACGCCCCCCTCATTAGAAAGAAAGCATTAAACCCTCCCTTCTGTGGAGAAAGGGGTGGAGCAAAGTGTTGGGGGCGGGGCTTGAGGCGGCCTAAGAGACATTTAAACCTCGGATTAGCATAAGGGGCGTGGCTTGTGGGAGCTTGGGGTGGTTATTAGCAAAAGGGGCGGGGCACAGACAGGCAGAGTGTGTCATTAACATAAGGGGCGGGGTTTGGGGCTTTAAAAAGTGCAGCAGCATAAAGGGCGTGGCCAAAGGCTGATTAATTAGCATAAGGGGCGTGGCATTTGGGTTTGGCAGTCACTATCAGCAGAAGGGGAGGGGCCAGGCAGCTTTAAGATGAGTTATTAGCATAAGGGGTGGGGTATGATGATATTATAATGAGTTATTAGCATAAAGGGTGGGGAAAAGGGGATTTTAAAATGATGGTTGCATAAAAGGTGGGGCAAATGGGCTTCATAATTAATTATTAGAATAAGGGGAGGGGCATTCCTGGAGTTATAAATGCTATTAGCATAATGGGAGGGACTTGATTAATTAAAACCCATCATTATTAGCATAAATTGATTGGCATTATGGGGGTTCATGAACGCTATTAGCATAAGGGGTGGGGCTTGCCACATGTCATACTTCCTCATTACCATAAAGGGCGTGACATGTTGAGCTTTAACCCTCCTCATTAGCATAAGGGGCGTGGCAAATTAAGCTTTAACCCTCCTCATTAGCATTAGGGGCATGACAAGTTAAGCTTTAACAAGGCTCATTTGCATAAGGGCCATTGCAAATTGAGCTTTAAACACTCTCAATTAAGATTTACCACTCTCATTTGCATAAAAGGCATGGCAGATTAACCTTTAACCCTGCTCATTAGCATAAGGGGTGTTGCAAATTAAGCCTTAACCCTCCTAATTAGCATAAGGGGCATGTCCAACAGAGATTTAACGCTGCTCATTAGCATAACGGGCGTCGCCAATGAAGCTTTACCACTCCCAAATTGGGCTTTAAACCCTCCTCATTAGCATAACGGGCATTGCAAATTGACCATTGGCCAGCCTCATTAGCATAAGGGGCGTGGCCACATCCCTTTATAAACCACCAGAGAAGAGGCAGCAAATAAATCGGATTTAAAAGAGGGGGGCGTGGACCTAAAAAAAAAAAAAAATCTAATCCCATTGTGGGCGTGGCCAGAATCCCCCTTGTGGGCGTGGCTCCGGCGGGCCGTGGGCGTGTCCTCCGAGCCCATAAAGGGCGGCGGCGGCGGCGGCCCCGCGGCGTTCGCGGGTTCGAGTCCCGGCGGGAGCGGCGGCGACACCGAGCGGGACCCGGGGGCTGGGGGGGGGGACACCGGGGGACAGCGACCACCGGGGGGGGAGGAGGGGGGGGGGCCGGACACCGGGGGGGTCCCCGGGGACACCGGGGGGGCGGGGCCCGAGGATGGCGCGGGACAAGGAGAAGCGGAGCTGCGGGCAGGTGGTGGCCGAGTGGCGAGCGTTCCTGTGGGACCCCCGCACCCGCCAGTTCCTGGGCAGGACTGGCTCCAGCTGGGGTGAGTTCGGCGCTTTTGGGTTTTTTTTTGGGTTTTTTTTTGGGGGGGGTTTTGTGGGGTGACCCCCCCCCACCAATTTTTTTTTTTTTTTTTTTTTTTTTTTTTTTTTTTTTTTTTGGGGTGCAGCGCCCCCCGCCCCCCGCGTGCTGATTGGGTGGGGGGGGTGATGATGATGGGTGAGGGGGATTTTTGGGGTGCCCCCCCCCCCCCCCCGCCACCCTCAACAGGTCGATTTTAATTTGGGGAGGGGGAGGGAAATTTTGGGGGGGACCCCACAACACTCAAATTAGGAAAGACCCCCCCTCAAATAACGGGGAGGGAGGGAGGGGGCGCATTGAACCCCCCAAATCCCCCCCCCCCCATTTGTGCGTTAAATGAGGGGGGGGTTGCTCAGAGCCCCCCCCCCCCCCATCCCACCCCATTGGGGGCCCCCCAAAACTGGGTGAGAATTGGGGACCCCCCCCCCTCCTTTTAGCGCCGCTTTTTTGGGGGGTGGGGTGGGCTCCTTTTGAGGAGGGGGCGGAATTAACCCAAGCCCCCCCCCCCAAAAAATGAGTAAAATTTGGGGGGGGGGGGGCGGGCAGCTTAAAGACCCCCCCACCTCTTTTTTTATGGGGGGAGCCCCCCCTAAAACATCCCCAAAAAAGGAGGGGGCGGTGGGGGGGAGGGGAATTTTGGGGGGGGGGGGGGGGTTCAAAAGGACAAATTGGGGGTGGGGGGGGGGGCGGGGGTGGCTTTGTGGCCCCCCCCCCCCCCCCCATCTGTCGCGCTGTGGCGACAAAAGTAGGTCACGGTCGGGGTGGGGGATGGAACGGCGGGGATCCCCCCCCCCAAAATGGAGGCGGGGGGGGGGGGGGGGGGGCGGGGGGGGCTGAACCAACTGAACCCCCCCCCCTCCCCCCTCCCCCATAGCGGGGGAACCCCCAAAATTGGGGTGGGGACCCCTAAAAAACCCCCCCGAAATCCTTTCCCCCCCCCCCCCCTTCAGGGTCCAGATGGCTCCGGGGGGATTTAAAACGTCTGGGGGGGGGGGCGGGGGGGGGGGGATTTGGGGGGGTCCGGGGGGGGGGTCGGGGTTGGTTTTAAGGGCGATTTTAGGGCAATTTTAGTGCAATTTTAGGGCGATTTTGGGGCAATTTTAGTGCAATTTTAGGGCAATTTTAGTGCGATTTTTGGGGGGTCCGAGAGGAGATTTTGGGGGGTTCGCGGCTGATTTTTGGGGTTTTTTTAATGGGATTGGGGGCAGTTTTTGGGGCGATTTTGCAGGGGGGGGATTCGGCGTTTATGGGGTGAATTAATGAGAATTTTGGGGTGTTCGGGGCAGTTTTGGGGGGTTTTTAATGGGATTGGGGCAGTTTTGGGGAACGTTTGACATTCATGGGGTAAATTCATGAGAATTTGGGGTGTTCGGGGCATTTTCGGGGCGATTTTTGGGGGGAGCGTTTTGACGTTTATTGGATGAATTAAAGAAAATTTTGGGGTGTTCGGGGCAGTTTTTGGGGTTTTTTAATGGGATTGGGGCAATTTTTTGGGTATTTAATGTCTATGGGATAAATTAATGAGAATTTGGGGTGTTCAGGGCATTTTCAGGGCGATTTTGGGGGGGTTGACGTTTATGGGGTGAATTAATGAAAATTTGAGGTGTTCCGGGCAGTTTTTTACAGGATTGGGGCAATTTTGGGGTGTTTGGGGCAATTGTGGGGGTATTTGACATTCATGGGGTAAATTCATCAGAATTTGGGGTGTTGAGCGCATTTTTTGGGGCGATTTTGGGGGGGATTTGACATTTATGGGTGAATTAATGAAAATTTGGGGTGTTCGGGGCAGTTTTTTGGGTTTTTTTTTATGGGATTGGGGCAGTTTTGGGGGTATTTATGTCTATGGGGTAAATTCATGAGAATTTGGGGTCTTCAGAGCATTTTTGGGGGGGTATTTGGGGCAGTTTTTGAGATTATTTGACGTTTAAGGGGTGAATTAATGAGAATTTGAGAGGTTCGGGGCAGTTTTTGGGGTTTTTAATGGGGTTGGGGCAGTTTTGGGGGTATTTAATGTCTATGGGGTAATTCTCATGAATTTGGGGTGTTCAGAGCAGTTTTGGGGGGTATTTGGGGTTTTCAGGGAAATTTTGGGGGTATTTGGTGCCAATGGGGTGAATTTATGGGGTTTTTGAAGGATTTGGGGCAACATTTGAAGGGTTAAGGTAATTTGGGGGCATTTTTGGAGAGGTTTGGGGCAGATTTTGGGGTCCCAAACCCCAAAATTCGCCCCCTCAGAGCTGATCCTGCTCTTCCAAAGTGATTTTATTGGGATTTATCCCAAATTTTGGGGATTTTTTCCACCCATTTCGGATGGGATTTTTGGGTTTTTTCACCCATTTCGGGTGGGATTTTTGGGGTTTCTGCCCCCAGGGGGGTTTCCTTCCTCATGAGGGGTTCATTTTTGGGGTCCCTGACCCTCTTTCCCCCATTTTATTGTGCAATTTTGGGGATTTTTTACCCTCTCATGGTGTAATTTTTGTGATTTTTCACCCAATTCAGTTGGGTTTTTGGGGTTTTTCACCCATTTCAGTTGGGATTTTTCAACCCATTTCAGTTGGGATTTTTGGGGTTTTTCACCCATTTCAGTTGGGATTTTTCACCCATTTCAGATGGGATTTTTGGGGTTTTTCACCCATTTCAGTTGGGATTTTTGGGATTTCTGTCCCCAGGGGGGTTTTTCCTCATGAGGGGTTCATTTTTGGGGTCCCTGACCCTCTTTCCCATTTTATTGTGCAATTTTGGGGATTTTTCACCCTCTCATGGTGTAATTTTTGTGATTTTTCACCCAATTCAGTTGGGTTTTTTGGGGTTTTTCACCCATTTCAGTTGGGATTTTTCACCCATTTCAGTTGTGATTTTTGGGTTTTTTCACCCATTTCAGCTGGGATTTTTGGGGTTTTTCACCCATTTCAGTTGGGGTTTTTCACCCATTTCAGATGGATTTTTGGGGTTTTTCACATCCCATTTCAGTTGGGATTTTTGGGGTTTTTCACCCATTTCAGTTGTGATTTTTGGGTTTTTTTCACCCATTTCAGTTGGGATTTCTGGGGTTTTTCACCCATTTCCATTGGGATTTTTGGGATTTCTGCCCCTTTGGGGATTTTTCCTCACGGGGATTTCATTTTTGGGGTCCCTGACCCCCCAATTTCGCCCCCCAGGGCTGATCCTGCTGTTCTACCTGGTGTTTTACGGGTTCCTGGCGGGCTCTTTCGCCCCTCACCATGTGGGTGATGCTGCAGAGCGTCGACCCCCACGTGCCCAAGTACCAGGACCGGCTGCTGACCCCCGGTGAGACCCCCGGGAAAGGGGGGCCTGGGTGGGGGTCCCGGGTTTGGGGTCCTGGGTGGGGGTCCTGGATTTGGGGTCCTGGATTTGGGGTCCTGGGTGGGGGTCCTGGATTTGGGGTCCTGGATTTGGGGTCCTGGATTTGGGGTCCTGGATTTGGGGTCCTGGGTGGGGGTCCTGGATTTGGGGTCATGGATTTGGGGTCCTGGATTTGGGGTCCTGGATTTGGGGTCATGGATTTGGGGTCCTGGATTTGGGGTCCCGGATTTGGGGTCCTGGATTTGGGGTCCTGGATTTGGGGTCTTGGATTTGGGGTCCTGGATTTGGGGTCCTGGATTTGGGGTCTTGGATTTGGGGTCCTGGATTTGGGGTCCTGATTTGGAGTCTTGGATTTGGGGTCCTGGATTTGGGGTCTTGGATTTGGGGTCCTGGGTGGGGGTCCCGGATTTGGGGTCCTGGGTGGGGGTCCTGCATTTGGGGTCTTGGATTTGGGGTCGTGGATTTGGGGTCCTGGATGGGGAAAGGGTTTGGGGGGGGATTTGGGACCCCCCCGTGTGTCTCCCCTCCCCCCCTGCCCCCATGTGACCCCCTGGTGACCTTTGTGTCACCCTGCGTGACCCCCCCGTGGCACCTCCCCACAGTGTCCCCAGTGTCCCCAATGTCCCCAATGTCCTCCCAGTGTCCCCAAAATCCCAAATGTCCCCAATCCCCCCAATCCCCTCATTGTCCCCTCAATGTCCCCGATGTCCCCTGGCTGTCCCCAATGTCCCCAACGTCCCCGATGTCCCCAATGTCCCCATTGTCCCCATTGCCCCCAATGTCCCCAATGTCCCCAACGTCCCCGATGTCCCCATTGCCCCCAATGTCCCCATTGCCCCCAATGTCCCCATTGTCCCCTCAATGTCCCCAACGTCCCCTGGCTGTCCCCAATGTCCCCAATGTCCCCATTGCCCCCACAACGTCCCCGAGGTCCCCTGGCTGTCCCCAACATCCCCTGGCTGTCCCAATGTCCCCATTGCCCCCAATGTCCCAAATGTCCCCAACGTCCCCAATGTCCCCAATGTCCCCAATGTCCCCCAATGTCCCCGATGTCCCCAATGTCCCCAGGGCTGATGATCCGTCCCTGCACCGAGGGTCTCGATGTCACCTTCAACGTGAGCCAGAGCCAGACCTGGCACCAGTACGTGAGAGCCCTGCACCAGTTCCTGGAGCGTGAGTGCACTGGGAGGGACTGGGTTATACTGGGAGGGACTGGGAGGGACTGGGAGGGACTGGGATGGCCTAACCCCATACTGGGATGACCCTTCCCATACTGGGATGACTCTAACCCATACTGGGATGACCCTAACCATACTGGGATGACCCTTCCCATACTGGGATGACCCTTCCCATACTGGGATGACTCTAACCCATACTGGGATGACCCTTCCCATACTGGGATGACTCTAACCCATACTGGGATGACCCTAACCCATACTGGATGACCCTTCCCATACTGGGATGACTCTAACCCATACTGGGATGACCCTAACCCATACTGGGATGACCCTTCCCATACTGGGATGACTTTAACCCATACTGGGATGACCCTTCCCATACTGGGATGACTCTAACCCTTACTGGGATGACCCTAACCCTTACTGGGATGACTCTAACCCATACTGGGATGACTCTAACCCATACTGGGATGACCCTAACCCATACTGGGATGACCCTTCCCATACTGGGATGACCCTTCCCATACTGGGATGACTCTAACCCATACTGGGATGACCCTTCCCATACTGGGATGACTCTAACCCTTACTGGGATGACCCTAACCTTACTGGGATGACTCTAACCCTTACTGGGATGACTCTAACCCATACTGGGATCACTCTAACCCTTACTGGGATGACCCTAACCCATACTGGGATGACCCTTCCCATACTGGGATCACTCTAACCCTTACTGGGATGACCCTTCCCATACTGGGATGACCCTTCCCATACTGGGATGACCCTAACCCATACTGGGATGACCCTTCCCATACTGGGATCACTCTAACCCATACTGGGATGACTCTAACCCTTACTGGGATGACCCTAACCCATACTGGGATGACTCTAACCCATACTGGGATGACCCTTCCCATACTGGGATGGCCCTTCCCATACTGGGATGACCCTAACCCTTACTGGGATGACTCTAACCCATACTGGGATGACCCTTCCCATACTGGGATGACCCTAACCCATACTGGGATGACCCTTCCCATACTGGGATGACCCTTCTCATACTGGTCAGCCCCTCTCAACCCCGTCTCCTCCCCCAGCGTACAACGACAGCGTCCAGGCCGCGCGGAACGCGGCGTGCGCGGCCGGGCGCTACAACGAGCAGCCGGACGACGCCGTGCCCAACTACCCCAAGCGCGCCTGTCGCTTCGAGCGCTCCCAGCTCGGGCCCTGCGCCGGCCTCGGCCCCCACGGCGACTACGGCTACGGCAGCGGCCGGCCCTGCGTGCTCGTCAAGGTCAACCGGGTGAGACACGGGCACTGGGAGGGACTGGGAGGGACTGGGTTACACTGGGATATACTGGGAGGGACTGGAGGTGGAGTATGGCTACGGCAGCGGCCGCCCTGCGTGCTCGTCAAGGTCAACCGGTGAGACATGGGGGACTGGGAGGGACTGGGAGGGACTGGGAGGGACTGGGATATACTGGGAGGGACTGGGATATACTGGGATATACTGCGATGGACTGGGATGGACTGTTATACTGGGATGGACTGGGTTATACTGGGAGCACTGGGAGAGGGGTTGTGGGCGTGTGTTGGCTTGTGTGGTTGGGGTAAATGGGACTGGGATGGACTGGGATGGACTGGGAGGGACTGGGAGGGACTGGAGGGACTGGGATGGACTGGGAGGGACTGGAAGGACTAGGATGGACTGGGAGGGACTGGGAGGGACTGGGAGGGACTGGGAGGGACTGGGAGGGTGTCTGGTGGGGCTTGGCAATGAGTTATGTTGGATTGGGAGGGACTGGTATGGACTGGATTATACTGGGAGGGACTGGGAGGGACTGGTACAGGGCACTGGTCTTTACTAGTTTACACCGGTTCAATACTGGGCCATGGAGATCCATAATGGCCCATAGTGGTTCATATTGGTCTATACTGGTTCCTTATGGCCCAGAGTGGTTCATTCTGGTCTGTACTGGTCCCTACTGGTCCCTACTGTTTCATACTGGTTCATACTGGTCCACACTGGTTCATACTGGTCCATACTGGTCCCGCAGGTCATCAACTTCTTCCCGGGCAAGAACAAGAGCATCAACATCGTCTGTGCTGCCAAGGTGACGTCACTGTCCCCTCACGGTGTCCCCAAGCCCCCCCAGTGTCCCCAGCTGTCACCTTCAGTGTCCATCTTGTGTCACCTCAGGAGTCCCCACGTGTCCCCCTCATGGCACTTCCAGTGTCCTCAATGTCCCCTCAGTGTCCTCTCAATGTCCCCTCACTTCAGGGTGCCCCCTCGGTGTCCCCAGTGTCCCCCTCGTGTCTCCCAAAAAATGTCCCAAAAATGTCCCCAATGTCCCCTCATTGTCCCCATTGTCCCCAGTGTCCCCAATGTCCCCTCATTGTCCCCTCACTGTCTCTTGTCTCTGCCCAGCGGCCCCGGACCAAGGGTGACCTGGTAAGGGGGGGAGAGGTCCCAAAATCGGCTGCTTTCACCCCAAAATCCCTTTAGAGTTCCAAAAACTGGGGAGATTCACCCCAAAATTCCTTTAGGAATCCCAAAATCCTTTTAGGATCCCAAAATCCCAGAGTTTCATCCCAAAATTCACTTAATTCACCTCAAAATCCTTCTAGGAATCCCAAAATCTGCTGCTCTCATCCCAAAATCCCTTTAGAATTCCAAAATTGGGAGAAATTCACCCCAAAATCCCTCTAGGAGTCCCAAAATCTGCTTAATTCACCCCAAAATCCTTTAGAATTCCAATAATTGGGTAGATCCCCCCCAAACCCTTGTAATTTGTCCCAAAATCCCAGAGTTTCAGCCCAAAATTCCTCTCGGAATCCAACATTCACTTAACTCACCCCAAAATCCTTCTAGGAATCCCAAAATCTGCCGATTTCACCCCAAATCCTGCTGGGTGTCCCCAGAGCTTCTGTGTCCCCCACTGTCCCCAATGTCCCCCCAGTGTCCCCCAGTGTCCCCATTGTCCCCATAATGTCCCCATTGTCCCCATTGTCCCCATGTCCCCCCAATGTTTCCAATGTCCCCAATGTCCTCGTGTCCCTCTCATTGTCCCCAATGTCCCCAATGTCTCCATAATGTCCCCATAATGTCCCCAATGTCCCCCAATGTCCCCATGTCCCCCCAATGTCCCCATGTCCCTCTCACTGTCTCTCTCTCGCTGCCCGCGGGGCCCAGGGACACTCGGCCACCACCGTAAGGGAACTGGGACAGACTGGGACAAACTGGGACAGACTGGGACAAACTGGGACAAACTGGGACGAACTGGGGGGGTACTGGGACAAACTGGGACAAACTGGGAGGCACTGGGGGAGAATTTTGGTGGGGGATAAAAGGGGGGGGGGTCTTTGGGGGCTATTTTGGGGGGGGGGGGGTCCTGGGAATATTTTGGGGGGTCCTGGGGGTATTCTGGGGGACTCAGGGGGGGTTTGGGGGGAAATTAAGGGGGGATTTTTGGGTTTTCTTTTTTGGAGTGGGGGGGGTATTTTGGGGCTCTCTGGAATATTCTGGGGGTCCTGGCAGTATTTAGGGCATCCCTGGGAATATTTAGGGGGCGGGTCCTGGAGCTATTTTTGGGTCCCTTTTGGGGGTCCTGGAAATATTTAGGGGGTCCCAGAAATATTTGGGGGTCCCCGGAATATTTCGGGAGGGATCCTGGAGCTGTTTTGGGTCCCTTTTGGGGGTCCTGGGGTTATTTTTTTTTTTGGGGGGAGGGCGGTCAGAGGGGGTGTCCCCCCCCCCCTTCAGGGGACATTTGGGGACCCCCCTCGTGTCCCCCCCCCCCCAGCGTGAGGAGGACGCCGCCCTGCTGGGCCCCATGCAGCTCTTCCCCCCCAACGGCACCATCGACCTCATGTACTTCCCCTACTACGGGAAACGCGTCCACGTGAGCACCCCAAAAACCCCAAAATCCCAAAATCCCCCTGGGGCACCCCAAAACTTGGGATTCCTCTCGGGGGGTGGGGGGAGACCTCAAAATCCCACTGGGGAGGGGGCTTGGGGGCACCTGGGGTTCCCCAAAGGGGTTTTGGGGTGATTTCCTGGAGGTTTGGGGTCCCCCCTGATTTCTTGGAGGTTTGGGGGTCCCCCCGAGGGGTGTGGGGATCCCCTGGACACCTGAATCCCTGGGAATTGGGGTTTTGGGATCACCTGGACACCTAAATTCCTGAAAATGAGATTTTCGGGATTTTCCGGACAAGCAAATTCCTGGGAATGGGGATTTTGGGATCATCTGGGCATCCAAATCCTTGGAAAAAGGAGATTTTTGGGATCTTCTGGACACCTGAATTGGCATTTTGGGAATTCCCTTTACACCTGCCCTAGGGAAATCGGGATTTTGGAAACCCCCCCATGCTCCCCAAAACCACAAATATTCCCCCCCCCCAGCCCCCCAAAAACCCCCGATTTTCCCCCCCCAGGTGAACTACACGCAGCCGGTGGTGGCCGTGCAGTTCTCCAACGCCACGGCCAACGTGGATCACCACGTGGAATGTCGCCTCAACGCCGCCGGCCTCCGCACCGACGACGAGCGCGACAAATTCGCCGGGCGCGTGGCCTTCCGCCTGCGCATCAACCGCGACTGACCCCGCCCGGAGCCCCCCGTAGCCCCCCGGCTCCTCCCCCATCGCCGCCGCCGCCGCCATCGCCGCCCCCAGCTCGGGTCTAATCGCCCGCCCCGCCCCCGTCGGGATGCTCCTAATCTGAGGATAATAAATGTACATAGATATTTTTTATATGAGAAATCGATTAAACGGTGCAGTAGGGCCCTGGCTCGTCCCCTCCCGCCTCCATCGTGGCGCAAAATGTTCGTGGTTTGTGCTCGAGGTTTGGGGTTGGGGTGGTTTGGGGGTGGGTTTGGGGGGTTTTGGGGGGTTTTGGGGGAGTTTGGAGGGGGGTTGGTGATGTTGGGGGAGGGCAAGATGGCCGCCTACCAAGATGGCCGCCAATCAAGATGGCTGCCTCTCAAAATGGCCGCCTACCAATATGGCTGTGTCTCAAAATGGCCGCCTACCAACATGGCCGCCAGTCAAGATGGCTGCCTCTCAAGGTGGCCGCCTGTCAAAATGGCTGGCTATCAAGATGGCCACCAATCAAGATGGCCACCAGTCAAGATGGCCGCCTAGCAAAATGGCCACCTACCAAGATGACCGCCAGTCAAGATGGCCGCCTACCAAGATGGCTGCCTTTCAAAAGGGCCGCCAGTCAAGATGGCTGCCTCTCAAGATGGCCGCCTGTCAAAATGGCCGCCAGTCAAGATGGCTGCCTCTCAAAATGGCCGCCAGTCAAGATGGCTGCCTCACAAAATGGACACTAGTCAAGATGGCTGCCTCTCAAGATGGCCGCCTGTCAAAATGGCCAGCTACCAAGATGGCCGCCTACCAAGATGGCCGCCAGTCAATATGGCTGCCACTCAAAATGGCCGCCTACCAAGATGGCCACCAGTCAGGATGGCCGCCTCAAAATGGCCGCCTACCAAGATGGCTGCCTCTCAAAATGGCCGCAAGTCAAGATGGCCGCCAGTCAAGATGGCTGCCTCTCAAAATGGCCGCCTACCAAGATGGCTGCCTCTCAAAATGGCCGCAAGTCAAGATGGCCGCCAGTCAAGATGGCCGCCTCTCAAAATGGCCGCCTACCAAGATGGCTGCCGCTCAAAATGGCCACCTACCAAGATGGCTGCCTCTCAAAATGGCCGCCTACCAAGATGGCCGCCTCTCAAAATGGCGGCCTACCAAGATGGCCGCCTACCAAGATGGCTGCCTCTCAAAATGGCCGCCAGTCAAGATGGCTGCCTACCAAGATGGCTGCCTCTCAAAATGGCCGCCAGTCAAGATGGCTGCCTCTCAAAATGGCCACTAGTGAAGATGGCTGCCTCTCAAGATGGCCGCCTGTCAAAATGGCCACCTACCAAGATGGCCGCCTACCAAGATGGCCGCCAGTCAAGATGGCTGCCTCTCAAAATGGCCGCCTACCAAGATGGCTGCCTCTCAAAATGGCCGCAAGTCAAGATGGCCGCCAGTCAAGATGGCTGCCTCTCAAAATGGCCACCAGTCAAGATGGCCGCCTACTGAGATGCCTGCCTCTCAAAATGGCGGCCTACCAAGATGGCTGCCTCTCAAAATGGCCACCAGTCAAGATGGCCGCCTCTCAAAATGGCCGCCTACCAAGATGGCTGCCGCTCAAAATGGCCACCTACCAAGATGGCTGCCGCTCAAAATGGCCACCAGTAAAGATGGCGGTCGCTCAAAATGGCCGCCTACAAAAATGGCTGCCTTTCAAAATGGCCGCCTACCAAAATGGCTGCCTACCAAGATGACCGCCTCAAAATGGCCACCAGTCAAGATGGCTGCCTCAAAATGGCCACCTAACAAGATGGCTGCCGTGGGTGAGGAGTAAGGACCAAGATTTGTTGATTTTTGAGGTATTTTTTCTAAATTCTGGGTTTATTTGATGATAGTTTGGTTTATTTGATGATTTTTGGTGCTTTTTGTCAATTATTGGGTTAATTTGTCAATTTTTTGGGGTTCATTTCTTGAGTTTTCAGTTTATTTGTTGATATTTTATTGATATTTAGGTTTATTTGATTTTTTTTTGTTTTTGATGCATTTTTGTGGTGATTTTTTCACTTTTTGGCTTATTTTGTTGATATTTGGGTTTGTTTTTTTATTTTGGTGTTCATTTGTTGAATTTTCGGTGATTTTTTGGGTTTTTTCGTTAATTAGGCCATGGGGGGGGGGGTTGGGCCCTTAATGAGCCTTAATGAGCTCGTTAGCGCTGCCAGGCCACGGGGTCCCCTCCCCCCCCTTGGCAGGGGCGCCCCCATTCAGGACAGGGGGCGGGGCCAAGGCATTGACGTCATCAGAGAGGGGCGGGGCCACCAAAACCGCCCCAATTTCCCTCCCCCAATGAACCAATTAAACCCCGCCCCCAATTAACCCCCAATTAACCAACCCCTAATTAATAACCCCCAATTAACACCCCCCATTCAACACCCCCTAATTAACACCCCAAATCCTCTTCCCTAATGAACCCCCTAATTAGGACCCCCCCAATTAATGGCTCTTAATTAACATTCCCATTAACACCCCCATTAAGACCCCCCCCAATTAATAACACTCCGTAATTAACACCCCTAATTAACAGTCCCTAATAAATGTTTCATTTCCTACCGGCCCCTAATTAACAGCAGCTAATCGAGATCTCCAATTAATAATTGTTTAATTAATTAATAACCCCCAATTAATACTCCAAGAGACTTCTCAATTACCATTGTGCTTAATTAATAGGCCCTAATAGAGACTGATCTAATTACCTGAGCATAATTAATAACTCTTAATTAAAAGCCCTTAATGAAGGCCCTAAATCACTTCCCATTTATTAGCCCTTAATATAAATAGCTCTAATTAAGCCCCGGATTGCAACACTAATTAATAACTAATATTAACCCTTCTAATCACTAATTAGTTTATCACTGAGACCCCAATTAACCCCATTAACATCCACTAAGAGAAATGCTTCTAATTAAAGGAATAATAACAATAATTTTAATTAATCAGCCCTAATACCCCCCCCAATTAACCCCCTCACTTAACAACTCTCAATTAACCCCTCCAATTAACACCTCATTAATTAACATCTGGAATTACCCGTCAAATTAACACCTCATTAACCCCCTCTTAATTAACCCCCAGAACGAATTCCTCCCCATTAATTAACCCCCCAAATTATCACCTCCTCATTAATTAACCCTCAATTATCCCCCAAAATTCCAGATTTCCCGCCCCCCCAAAAATTCTCTTTTTTTGGAATAAACCACCCCAAAATCCCCCCCCCTCATTAATTACCCCGTTAATCACCCCTCCCTTAATTACCTCCTCCATTAATTAATAAATTCATTAATTAACCCTCAATTACCCCCTCAAAATTCCAAATTTCCCGCCCCCCAAAAAATTCCCTTTTTTTGGAACAAACCACCCCAAAATCCCAACCCCTTTTAATCACCCCTCCCTTAATTCCCGCCTTCATTAATTAATAAATTCATTAATTAACTCACTAATTACCTCACTAATTACCCCCTGGCCAGCCCCTCCCCTCCCCCCCCAATCCCGTCCAGATGGTGCCGCCCCCCCCTTTCCCCTCCCCCATCCTCCGCGATTCGGGGCCGTTTTTGGGCTCAATCGGGGCCTTTTTGGGACCCCCCCGATTTTGGGGTTCCCCCCCCCGCCCCGGGCGGCTCCAAGGGCGGCTGAAGGGGACGGGGGAATTTTCCAGAATTTTCCGGAATTTTCCGGAGCGTTCCTTGGCAGGAGCCGGGAATGGAGGGGGGGGGGGAATGGGAGGGGTTGGGAGGATGAGGAGGCCCCGCCCCCCTCCTTAACCCCTCCCCCTCTCCCCGGCTGGAATTGAACTGGGACCAGTGAAAGGCGCGGCGTGATCCCAGTTTGGCCAAAACCGGGATCCCAGTTAACCCCAGTTACCCCAAACTGGGATCCCCCCCAAACTGGGATCCCTCCCAAACTGGGATCCCCAATTTCCTCCCAGTTACCCCAAACTGGGATCCCAGTTAACCCCAGTTACCCCAAACTGGGACCCCCATTCATCCCAGTTACCCCAAACTGGGGATCCCAGTTAACCCCAGTTACCCCCAAACTGGGATCCCCCGTTCCCTCCAGTTACCCCCAGTTACCCCAAACTGGGATCCCCCCCCAAACTGGGATCCCCAATTTCCTCCCAGTTACCCCAAACTGGGATCCCAGTTACCCCCAGTTACCCCAAACTGGATCCCAGTTACCCCCAGTTTGGCCAAACTGGGATCCCCCCCCAAACTGGGATCCCCAATTCCCTCCAGTTACCCCAAACTGGGATCCCCCCCCAAACTGGGATCACCCATTCCCTCCCAGTTACCCCAAACTGGGATCCCAGTTACCCCCAGTTACCCCAAACTGGGATCCCCAGTTCCCCCCAGTTCCTTCAAACTGGGATCCCAGTTCCTCCCAGTTCCTTTAAACTGGGATCCCCAATTCCCTCCCAGTTACCCCAAACTGGGACCCCCAATTCCTTCCCAGTTACCCCAAACTGGGATCCCCGCCCCCCAAACTGGGATTCCCCCCAAACTGGGACCCCCCATTCCCTCCCAGTTACCCCAAACTGGGATCCCAGTTCCCCCCAGTTCCTCCCAGTTCCTTTAAACTGGGCTCCCAGTTCCTTCCCAGTTACCCCAAACTGGGGCCCCCTCCCCAAACTGGGACCCCCAGACAGCCCCCGGGTGGGGGAGGGGCGCTATAAAAATCCCTTTATTGTATAAAAACCCATTAAAAACCGGGGGGGAGGGCGGGGCCAGGAATGACGTCATGCAGGATGGGGGCGTGGCTTATAAAATCAACAGGGGCGTGGCTTAAGGGCAGGGAATCAATCATGTGGGCATGGCTAAAGCAGGGTGGTTATAATGGGGCAAAGGGGGCGTGGTTAAACCTTGGGGGTGTGGCTAAAGCAGTGATTGGCAGGTGGTGTGTGGTCAAGCATGAAGTGGGCGGGGGTTAAACAGGAGAAATGGGTGGGGCTAACTAGGACAGGAGGGCCAATGGGAAACCGGGGTGAGTGGGTGTGGTTGGGAAGGGGGCGTGGTTTCCAGACGAAGGGGGCGTGGTCAATCCGACTCCCCCGACTCCGCCTTCAGCAGCAGCTTTTTCCCACGGGGCACCCGCCCCTCCCCCCGCGGGCGGCGCCCCTTGGACCTGGGGGGGGGGAGGGAGAGTGAGGGACCCCCCCCCCCCCCCAAATTCTGGGAGTCCCAAATTCTCCCCAAAATGGGACCCCAAAATCCTGGAGTCCCAAATTGCCACAAAAAACCCCAAAAAGGGACCCTCAGACCCTCCCCAAGCCCCCCCTCCCCAATTGACCCTAAAACCCCCAAAATCACCCCAAAACCTCTCAGCCACCCCTAAAATGACCCCAAGCCCCCCCAAAATTACCCAAAACTCCCTCAAAGCCCCCCCAGAATTACCCCAAAATGATCCCAAACCTCCTCAAAGCCCCCGCAAATCCCCCAAAGTGCCCCCAAACCCGCCCAAAATGACCCCAAAATGCACAAAATGACCCCCAACCCTCCCAAAATGCCCCCCAAGTGCCCCCCAAAATGACCCCAAACCCCCCCAAAGTGACTCCCAGCTCCCCCAACCCTCCAAAATGACCCCAAATCCTCTCAAAGTGCCCCTAAACCCACCCAAAATTGCCCCCAAATCCCCCCAAAATGACCCCAGACCCCCCAGACCCCTAAAATTGTCCCCAAACCCTCTGAAACCCCCCCCAAAGTGACCCCAACCCCCCAAAATGACCCCAAATTGCCCCCAAATCCCCCAAAAGTGCCCCCAAAACCCCTAAATTTGTCCCCAAATCCTCTGAACCCCCCCCCAAAATGACCCTAAATCCCCTGAAATTACACCCAAACCCCCCCAAAATGACCCCAAAACCCCCAACTTGCCCCCAAATCTCCCCAAACCCCCCCAAAATGACTCCAAACCTCCCCCCCAAATCCCCCTAAATTGCCCCCAATTCCCCCCCAAATCCCCCCAAAGTGACCCCAAAACGCCCCCCAAAATTGCCCCCAAATCCCCCCAAAATGACCCCAAACCCCCCCAAATCCCCCTGAAATGCCCCCAGTTCCCCCAAAAATGACCCCAAATCCTCCCAAACTGCCCCCAAATCCCCCCAAAGTGACCCCAAACCCCCCCCAAATCCCCCTGAATTGCCCCCAATTCCCCCCCCAAATGACCCCAAATTCCCCAAACTACCCCCCAAAAATTGACCCCAGACCCCTCCCAACCCCCCCCCCCGTTTTTGGGCTCTCACTTTTGGGGGGCCCCCCCCCGGTCGTAGGTGCGCTCCAGGGCCTCGTTGACCATGCGGAACATCTCAAAGCGCTTCCGGCCCCGCACCTGCACCCCAAAAACACCTGGGGTGAGCAGGGGGGGGGGGGACCCCAAAAAGGGCTGAGACCCTCCAGGGACCCCCCCCAAAAAAATCGGGATCCTGAGAGGGCTGAAAACCCCGAAAATTTGGGTCAGGGGGAACCCAAAAGGGCTGAGATTCCACAGGGACCTCCCTAAAAACTGGGATCCTGAGAGGGCTGAAAACCCCCCCAGAAACCCCCAAAAAATTGGGGTCAGGGGGACCCCGAAAAGGGCTGAGACCCCTCAGGGATCCCCCAAAAATAACGGGGTTGGGGGACCCCAAAAGTGCTGGAGACCCCACAAAATTGGGGTTATAAGAGACCCCAAAAAGGGCTGAGACTCCTCAGAGAGCCCCCAAAAAATAACGGGGTCAGGGGGACCCCAAAAGTGCTGGAGACCCCTCAGAGAGCCCCCAAAATTGGGGTCACAGAGGATTGGAGACCCCCCCAAGGACCCCCCAAAATTTGGGTAAAGGGGGAGGCGGAAAGGGGTGGAAACCCCCCAAAAATAATGGGGTGAGGGGAACCCCAAGAAAGGTGGAGACTCCTCAGGGACCCCCCCAAAAATAACGGGGTCAGGGGGACCCCAAAAGGGCTGGAGACCCCACAAAATTGGGGTCATAAGAGACCCCAAAAAGGGCTGGAGACCCCCCCCCCCCAAAATTGGGGTCACAGAGGGTTGGAGACGCCCCCAAAAATGGGGTCGGGGGGGGGGATGGAGACCCCCAAGAGAACCCCCCCAAAAAATTTGGGTGATGGGGGAGCCCAAAAGGGCTGGAGCCCCCCAAAATTGGGGTCATAGAGAAGATCGACACCCCTCAGGAACCCCCCAAAAATAATGGGGTCGGGGGGGGCCTGAAAGAGGTGGAGACCCCACAGGAACCCCCAAAAATTGGGAACCCCAAAAGGGATGAACACCCCTCAAAAAAACATTGGGATCAGGGGAAAACGGACAAAAACCCTTAAAAAAAATGGGGTCAAGGGGACCCCAAAAGGGCTGAAACACTCAGGGGACCCCACAGAAATTTAGGGGTGGCAGAGGGGATGGGGAGACTTTTAGGGGACCCCCAGATGTGCCCCCAGCCCCACCTGCAGGGAGAAGATTTCGGTCTCGGGGTCCTGCAGTCGCTTCTTGGAGCTCTCGGGGGCCTCATCCGGGGGCAGCAGGGCTGGGGAGGGGCAGGGGGGGCTCAGGGACCCCCAAAAGGGCCCCAGGGACCCCCCCCCAAATCGTTGGGGGTGTCCCGGGGAGGCCACGCCCATTATTCATGAGGAGGTGCTCGTTAGCATGTTTGGCCACGCCCTTTTCGGGGGCAGGGATCTCGGCGGGTGGAGCCGCGCCCGGTTTGGCTCCACCTCCCGGCAATGCAGTGGGCACGCCCCCTTCCTTTAGGCCACACCCCCTCAGGGGTGGCCCTTTTGTTGTGTTCCATAAGCCACACCCACCTGGCTCCACCCACCCCTTTTAGATTGGCCTCACCCACCCAAGCCACACCCTCCCACAAACTCTGCCCCCATTGTATCTTAGCCACGCCCCCATCATTTCAGACCACACCCACATTTAAGCCACACCCACTCATCAATAAAGCTCCTCCCACTCCTAATCAGGCCCCACCCCTACCCCACATTCAGCTCCACCTACCCCAGTTTAGGCCACGCCCACCCAAACACATCACAGCCATATCCTGCCTCAGGTCCTTTAGCCCCGCCCCCACCGAAGCCCCGCCCTCACCTCGCTTGGCCCCGCCCCTTTTGCGCTGGGTCTCCTCCTCATGGCGCCGATCCCGCCCAGGGCAGGCGCAGACCCGGACCTCGAAACAGCGCCGGCCCAGGATGTGACCCCTGAAACCACCCCAAAATCAGCCTGGGGACCCCAAAATCACCCCAAAAATATCCTGGGCATCCTCCAGAACCAGGGGCGCCCCAAAAACCCCAGCCAGGAACCCCAAAAATCCCAAATTCGGGCTCAGAACTGAACCTTGAAACAGCGGCGGGCCAGGATCTGACCCCTAAAATGGACCCCAAAATCAGCCTGGGGACCCCAAAATCACCCCAAAAATATCCTGGGCATCCTCCAGAACCAGGGGCGCCCCAAAAACCCCAGCCAGGAACCCCAAAAATCCCAAATTCGGGCACAGAACTGAACCTCGAAACAGCTCCGGGCCAGGATCTGACCCCTAAAATTGGGATTGGGGACCCCAAAATCAGCCAGAAATACCCCAAAATCAGCCTGGGGACCCCGAAATCTGCTCAGGGACACCCCAAAATCCATCCAGAAATTCCTCAAAATATTTTTAAAGGATTCTGCATTTTTAAGACCAAAACTAAAAGGATTTTGGGGGGAACTTTTGGGGTTTTTTGGGGTGATTTTTTGAGGGATTGTTGGGAGGATTTTTGGGGATATTTTTAGGGTTTTTTTGGGGCTCACCCAGGTCCCTCGAGGGTGAAGATGGTGAGGATGGGTCTCCTGTTCATGCCCAGGTTTTGGCATTTTTTGGAAGATTTTTGGGGTTTTTTGGGGGGATTTTGGGGGGATTTTTAGAGGGATTGTTGAGAGGATTTTTGGGGATATTTTTAGGGTTTTTTTGGGGTTTTTAGGGCTCACCCAGGTCCCTCGAGGGTGAGGATGGTGAGGATGGGTCTCCTGTTCATGCCCCCCATGCAGGAGCTGTTGCACATGAAGTTGTACAGGACCGTGGTGCACTCGGAGCCCACCTGGGAATGGGGAAAAATGGTCAGAACCCTAAAAAAAATCCCTAAAAATACCCCAAAACCAACCCAAAAATGACCCAAAACCAACCCAAAAATACCCCAAAATCAACCCAAAAATACCCCAAAACCAACCCAAAAATAGCCCAAAATCACCTCAAAAAATACCTCAAAATCAATCCAAAAAATACCCCAAAATCAACCCAAAAATACCCCAAAACCAACCCAAAAAATACCCCAAAATCAACCGAAAAAATACCCCAAAACCAACCCCAAAAATAACCCCAAAACAAACCCCAAAACCAACCCAAAACAAACCCCAAAACCAACCCAAAAATACCCCAAAACCAACCCCAAAATACCCCAAAAACCAACCCAAAAAATACCCCAAAACCAACACAAAAATAACCCAAAACCAACCCAAAAAATACCCCAAAATCAACCCAAAACAAACCCCAAAACCAACCCAAAATCAACCCAAAAAATACCCCAAAACCAACACAAAAATACCCCAAAACCAACCCAAAAAATACCCCAAAACCAACACAAAAATAACTCAAAACCAACGCAAAAATACCCCAAATCAACCCAAAACAAACCCCAAAACCAACCCAAAATTAACCCAAAAATCAACCCAAAAATACCCCAAAATCAACCCAAAATACCCCAAAATCAACTCAAAAAATACCCTAAAAACCAACCCAAAAGATACCCCAAAATAAACCCCAAAATCAACCTAAAAATACCCCAAAACCAACCCAAAAATACCCCAAAATCAACCCCAAAACCAACCCAAAAATACCCCAAAAACCAACCCAAAAATACCCCAAAACCAACCCAAAAATACCCCAAAATCAACTCAAAATTACCCCAAAACAAACCCCAAAACCAACCCCAAAATCAACCCCAAAATACTCCAAAATCAACTCAAAAAATACCCTAAAACCAACCCGAAATACCCAAAAAAACCCCCCAAAAACCACCCCAAAAACCCACCTGGGATGAGGGGGGACATTTTATGGGGATTTTGGGGTTTTTATTTGGAATTTTGGGGTTTTTATTTGAGATTTAGAGGTTTTTACTTGGGATTTTGGGGTTTTTATTTGGGATTTCTGCAGGGATTTCAATGGGGATTTTGGGATTTGGGATTTTTTGGGGTTTTTGGGATTTTTGGGGTCACCTCAGGGGGTTCATAGGGCACGGCCACGCTCGGTCCCTGATGGGATTTTGGGGTTTTTCTTTGGGATTTTGGGGCCGTTCTTGGGGATTTCTGCAGGGATTTCAATGGGGATTTTGGGATTTGGGATTTTTTGGGATTTTTGGGGTTTTTGGGATTTTTGGGGTCACCTCAGGGGGTTCATAGGGCACGACCACGCTCGGTCCCTGAGGGGATTTTGGGGTTTTTCTTTGGGATTTTGGGGCCGTTCTTGGGGATTTCTGCAGGGATTTCAATGGGGATTTTAGGATTTGGGATTTTTTGGGGTTTTGGGATTTTTTGGGGGTTTTGGGGTCACCTCAGGGGGTTCATAGGGCACGGCCACGCTGGGGCTCTAAGGGGATTTTGGGGTTTTTATTTGGGATTTTGGGGCCGTTCTTGGGGATTTCTGCAGGGATTTCAATGGGGATTTTGGGATTTGGGATTTTTCTGGGTTTTTGGGATTTTTTTGGGGTTTTGGGGTCACCTCAGGGGGTTCATAGGGCACGGCCACGCTCGGTCCCTGAGGGGATTTTGGGGTTTTTCTTTGGGGTTTTGGGGCCGTTCTTGGGGATTTCTGCAGGGATTTCAATGGGGATTTTGGGATTTGGGATTTTTTTGGGATTTTTGGGGTCACCTCAGGGGGTTCATAGGGCACGGCCACGCTCGGTCCCTGATGGGATTTTGGGGTTTTTATTTGGGATTTTGGGGCCGTTCCTGGGGATTTCTGCAGCGATTTCAATGGGGATTTTGGGATTTGGGATTTGGGGATTTTTTGGGGTTTTTTAGGATTTTTGGTGTCACCTCAGGGGGTTCATAGGGCACGGCCACGCTGTGTCTCTTGGTGGTTTCATCGTCCTGGTACCGAGCCTGGGGGTTCCCCTCCACCCGGATCAGGTGCTGGGCGGGGGCATTGCCTGGGGAGACCCCAAAAATCCAAAATTAACCCCAAAATCTGCTCCAAAAGCAACCCCAAAAATCCCAAATGAACCCCAGAACCAACTCCAAAATCAGCTTCAAAATGAACCCCAAAATCAACCCCAATTTTTCCAGAATTTAACCCAATTTTCCAGAATTTAATCCAATTTTTTCCAATTTCCCCCCAATTTTTCCCCAATTTCACCCCCATTTTTAGGGGTGTCTCCCCCCAATTCTCCCCCAATTCCCCCCCATTTTTTAGGGTGTCCCCCCCAAATTTTCCCCCCATTTTTTGGGCTGTTTCCCCCCCCCCATTTCCCCTGTTTTTGGGGTGTCTCCCCCCAATTTCCCCCCAATTTGTTGGGGTGTCCCCCCCCGTTTCCCCCCCCCATTTTTTAGGGTGTCCCCCCCAAATTTTCCCTCCATTTTTTGGGGTGTCTCCCCCCCATTTCCCCCCCTTTTTTGGGCTGTCCCCCCCCCCCCTTTCCCCCCATTTTTTGGGGTGTCCCCCCCCATTTCTTGGGGTATTCCCCCCCATTTTTTGGGGTGTCCCCCCCATTTTTTAGGGTGCCCCCCCCCATTTCCCCCCAATTTTTTGGGCTGTCCCCCCCCCCATTTCTGGGGTATTTCCCCCCCATTTTTTAGGGTGTTCCCCCCCCATTTTTTGGGGTGCCCCCCCCGTTGCTCACCCTCGGGGTCCCCCCTATTTCCCCCCATTTTTTGGGCTGTCCCCCCCCCATTTCCCCCCCCTTTTTTGGGGTATTTCCCCCCCATTTTTTAGGGTGCCCCCCCCGTTGCTCACCCTCGGGGTGCCCCCTATTTCCCCCCATTTTTTGGGGTATTTCCCCCCCCATTCCCCCCTATTTTTTGGGGTGCCCTCCCCGTTCCTCACCCTCGGGGTCCCCCCCATTTTTTGGGGTGTGTCCCCCCTCATTCCCTCCCATTTTTTGGGGTATTTCCCCCCCATTTTTTGGGGTATTTCCCCCCCCTATTTCCCCCCCGTTTTTTGGGGTGCCCCCCCCGTTGCTCACCCTCGGGGTCCCCCCCATTTTTTGGGGTATTTCCCCCCCCATTTCCCCCCATTTTTTGGGGTGCCCCCCCCGTTGCTCACCCTCGGGGTCCCCCCCGGCCCTCTCGTGGTGGGGGCACCTCCGCACCACCTCGGCCACGTGCTCGGGTTTCTTGTACACGGCCAGGGCCCGGAGCAGGGCCCCGGGGGGCGGCGGGAGCCCCACCCGCACCTGCACCGGGCACGGCTTGGCCAGGCGGCAAAAGAGCTTGTTCAGCACTGGGGAGTACTGGGAGACACTGGGAGTTACTGGGAGGGCACTGGGAACAGCCCCAGACACAAAAAAACCCCATAGAAATAAACCCAGAAACAAAAAAAAAACCATAGAAACCCCATAGAAACCCCATAGAAACCCTATAGAAACCCCATAGAAACCCCCCCAGTACAGCTCGTTCAGCACTGGGGAGTACTGGGAGACACTGGGAGTTACTGGGAGCCAAAAAACACCCCAAAAAATCCACCCAGAAATCAAAAAAAACCCCATAGAAACCCCATAGAAACCCTATAGAAACCTCATAGAAACCCCCCAGTACAGCTTGTTCAGCACTGGGGAGTACTGGGAGACACTGGGAGTTACTGGGAGGGCACTGGGAACAGCCCCAGGACCAAAAAAACCCCACAGAAATAAACCCAAAACCAAAGAAACCCCATAGAAATAAACCTAGACCCAAAGAAATCCCATAGAAATAAACCCAGAAACAAAGAAACCCCATAGAAACCCCATAGAAACCCCCCCAGTACAGCTCGTTCAGCACTGGAGAGTACTGGGAGACACTGGGAGTTACTGGGAGACACTGGGAGTTACTGGGATATTTTCCCTGTTTTTCCCAATTTTCCCTGTTGCTTCTCCCATTTTTATTCCCATTTTTCCCCCATTTTCTCCCCTTTTTCCACCATTTTTTGGCCGTTTTTGCCCGTTTTTGGCCATTTTTTCACCATTTTTTCCCCCTTTTTTTCCCCAAATCCCCGTTTTTTCGCCCCATTTCCCACTCACGGTGAAGGTGCCACTCTTGGCCATTCCCATTTCTCTGAACTCCACCCTGAAGTCGTGCTCCCCCTTCGTTTTACCCCATTTTTTCCCCATTCTTTGCCCGTTTTTGGCCATTTTTTGGCCGTTTTTTCTCCCGTTTTTTCCCAAAATCCCCATTTTTGGCCCCATTTCCCACTCATGGTGCAGGTGACGCTCTTGGCCGTGCCCATCTCTCGGAACTCCACCCTGAAGTCGTGCTCCCCCCCATTCTATTCCTGTTTTCCCCCCCCGTTTTTCGCCATTTCTCAGCCGTTTTTGGCCATTTCTCAGCCGTTTTTGGCCATTTCTCGGCCGTTTTTTCGCCATTTTTTCTCCATTTTTTTTCCCAAAATCCCCGTTTTTCGCCCCAAACCCCACTCATGGTGCAGGTGACGCTCTTGGCCGTGCCCATCTCTCTGAACTCCACCCTGAAGCTGCGCTCCCCCCGTTTTTGGCCATTCTTTGCCCGTTTTTGGCCATTTCTCGGCCGTTTTTTCGCCATTTTTTCACCGTTTTTTCTCCATTTTTTTCCCAAAATCCCCTTTTTTCGCCCCAAAACCCCACTCACGGTGCAGGTGACGCTCTTGGCCGTGCCCATCTCTCTGAACTCCACCCTGAAGCTGCGCTCCCCCCGTTTTTGGCCATTCTTTGCCCGTTTTTGGCCATTTCTCGGCCGTTTTTCGCCATTTTTTCACCGTTTTTTCTCCATTTTTTTCCCAAAATCCCCTTTTTTCGCCCCAAACCCCACTCACGGTGCAGGTGACGCTCTTGGCCGTGCCCATCTCTCGGAACTCCACCCTGAAGTCGTTGCTCCCCCCCGTAATCCTCGGTGGACGGGACCACGGCCGAGGGCGGGGGGGGGCGGGGCGGGGGGGGCTCTGCGGGGGGCGGGGGGCAGCGCCCGCCCCTCCCCCACCCCCTCCCCCACCCCGGGGGGGCTCAGCTGCTGCTGGGGGGGGGAGGGGGAGAGACACAAATTGAGGGGGGGTTTGGGGCATTTTGGGGGCAAAAAATTCAAATTTTAGGGGTGAAAATTCAAATTTTTGAGGTCATTTTGGGTAGGGAAATTCATTTTTTTAGGGGTGGTAATTCAATTTTTGGGGGGGGAAATTCAATTTTTGGAGAAGGAAATTCAACTTTTGGGGTGGAAATTCAATTTTTGGGGGGAAAATTTAATTTTTCGGGAGAAATTCAATTTTTGGGTGGAAATTCAATTTTTGGGGGGGGGAAATTCAATTTTTGGAGGAGAAAATTCAATTTTTGGGGGGGGAAATTCAATTTTTGGGGGGAAATTCAATTTTTGGGGAGGAAATTCAATTTTGGAGGGGGAAATTCAATTTTTGGGGGGGAAATTCAATTTTTGGGGGTGGAAAATTCAACTTTTGGGGTGGAAATTCAATTTTTGGGGGGAAATTCAATTTTTGGGGGTAGAAATTCAGTTTTTGGGGGAGGAAATTCAACTTTTGGGGTGGAAATTCAATTTTTGGAGAAGGAAATTCAATTTTTGGAGGTGGAAATTCAATTTTTGGGGGAAATTCAATTTTTGGGGGGAAATTCAATTTTTGAGGGGAAATTCAATTTTTGGGGTGAAAATTCAAATTTTTTGGAGTCATTTTTGGGTAGGGAAATTCATTTTTTTAGGGGTGGTAATTGAATTTTTTGGAGGAAAAAATTCAATCTTTGGAGGTGGAAATTCAATATTTGGGGTGGTAATTCAAGTTTTGGAGGAGGAAATTCAATTTTTGGGGGGGAAATTCAATTTTGGAGGGGAAATTCAATTTTTGGGGGAGGAAATTCAATTTTTGGGGGAGGAAATTCAACTTTTGGGGGGGAAAAATTCAATTTTTGATGGGGAAATTCAATTTTTGGGGGGAAAATTCAATTTTTTGGGGTATTTAGGGGAAAAATTCAACTTTTGGGGGTTTTGGGTCGATTTGGGGGCGAAAATCCAACTATAGGGGTAATTTTGGGATCATTTTGGGGGGGAAATTCAAATTTTTGGGGGGTTTTGGGATTTTTTTTGGGGGGGGATCCAAGTTTTGGGGGTTCTGGGATATTTGGGGGTGAAAATTCAAATTTTTGGGGGTTTTGGGATATTTTGAGAAGATTAATCAAAATTTTTGGAGGTTTTTTAAGGGAGAAATGCAAATTTTGGGGGGATTTTGGGAACATATTTTGGCGGGGGAAAATCCAATTTTTGGGGGGTCTTGGGGTATTCGGGATCATTTATGGGAGCAAAAATCCAAATTTTGGGAATTTTGGGACCATTTTTTGGGGGAGGAACCCAATTTTGGGGATTTTGAACCCCCCCATCCCTTTTGGGGTTCCCCACTGCCTTGGCCAAAATTTTTTGGGGAATTTTCCCATTTTTTGGAGATTTGACCCCAATTTTTGGTGCTCACCCCATTCCAGCAGATCCTCGGGCATGGAACTGATGTTATTGGGGAGCCTGGAAAGGTCAAAGGTCACCCAAAAATCCCCAAAAAACCCAACCCCCCCCCAGCAAAATCCCAACCTCCCAAATAACCCCAAAAATCCCCCCCAAAAAACCCAAATGAACCCAAAATTCCCAAAAAAGCCCTAAAAGAAAACCCCAAAAATCTGAAATAACCCCAAAAAATCCTCCTAAAATCCCAAATAAACCCAAAAATCCTCCCGAAAATCCCAAATAAACAAAAAAGCCGCCCAAAATCCCAAATAGACCCAGAAACCTCCCCCAAGCCCTCCCCAAAATGCCAAAAAAACCCCAAATTCCCCCCAAAATCCCCAAACCCCCCAAAAAACCCCCAAAAGCCCCAAATTCTCCCCCAAAATCCCAAATAAACCCAAAAATCCCCTCCAAAAAAATCCCCAAAAATCTCGCCCAAAATTCCCAATAAATCCCAAATAAACCCCAAAATCACCCAAAAAAAATCCCCAAAAATCCCCCCCCAAAATTCCAAATAAATCCCAAATAATCCCAAAAATCCCCCCAAAAAATCCCCCCAAAAAAATCCCCAAAAATCTCCCCCAAAAACCCCAATAAATCCCAAATAAGCCCAAAATTCCTCTGCAAGCCCCCCCCCAAAAACCCAAATAAACCCGAAAATCCCCCAAAAAAATCCCCAAAAATCTCCCCCAAAAATCCCAATAAATCCCAAATAAACCCAAAAACCCTCCCCAAGCCCCACCCAAAAACCCAAATAAACCCAAAAATCCCCCCTAAAAACCCCAAATAAACCCAATAAACCAAACCCAGCTCCAAAAATCCCCAAAAATGCCCAATAAACCCCAAACTCCCCCAAAAACCCCAAAATCGCCCGAAATCGCCCCAAACGCTCACATGTTCCACAGGTCCAGGAACGCTTCCCCCTCCAGGAGCGGCTCCAGGTCCTCGGCCATGGTGGGGGAGGGGCGGCCCCGGGGGACCCCTGGGGGGGGAGGGGAGCCCCGGGTGGGGGTGGGGGGGAGGGGAAAATTCCGAATTTTGGGGGGAAATCTCCGCGTTTTGGGGCTGACCCCAAAAATTTCCCCTTTTTTTTAACTTGCGGGACCCGCCAAACCAGCCCAAGCCACGCCCACTGTCCTTAAGTCACGCCCCCTTCGTTTAAGCCACGCCCCCTCCTCCATTCCGGATGCAAAATTATCCCAATTTGGGTAAAAATTGGGTGAAATTCCGACAGAATTTGGGCCAAAATTTGGGTAAAATTTGAGCTAAAATTGGGTTAAACTTGGATAAGGTTTGGGTAAACCTTGGTCAAGTATGAGAAAAATTCAGAGAAAAATTGGGTAAAATTTGGGTAGGTTTAGGAAAAATTTGGGTAAAACAAGGGAAAAATTTGGGCAAAACTGGGGGAAAAATTGGGTAAAAAATTGATAAAAATCGGGTAAAATCTGGCCAAATTTTGGGTCAAGTTTGGATAAAAAATGGGAAAAGTTCAGGTAAAAATTCGGCAACGTTTTGGCAAAATGTAGATAAAATTTGAGTTAATTTTGAGTAAAGTTTGGCCAAAATTTGGGTAACAAATGGGCAAAGATTGGGGGAGCTCCCTCAGGTCAGCCCTTCCCCATTTTGTGGCCCCCCCGGGACGCCCCAAAATCCGCCCCTAAGGGAGGAGGGGAGCCCTGATTTTGGGGGGAAATCTCCTTTATTTGGGGGTGACCCCAAAAATTCTTGTTTTAAAGGGGGGGGGGGGGGGGGGTGTCCCGCCAAACCAGCGCAAGCCCCGCCCCCTCCCCCCTTCCGGCAGCAAATTTCACCCGATTCGGGTAAATTGGGGTAAAATTTGGGTAAAAGTTGGGAAAAATTCGGGTAAAAATTTGGCAAAATTTGGGGGATCCCCCCCCCCATTTTGGGCCCCTCTCGCCTCGCCGTTTTTGGGGTGCCCTTCCCCCCTCCCCCCCACTGACCCCTCAGTGCTGGGGGGTCCCCCCGAACCCCCGGGAACCCCCAAAATCTGCTTGGGATCCCCCAAGACCCCCCTGAGACCCCCCAAAATCCGCTCGGGACCCCCGAAATCCCCTCACGGAGCCCCGGAACGCCCCGGAACCCCCCGGGACTCCCCAAAATCCGCCCGGAACCCCCCAATTCCCCCCCGGGGCCTCCCCGATACCTCCGGTGCTTCCCGCGCCTCACGCGCTGGGGAATCCCCACTCCCGGCGTTCCCCGCGCCGGGGCGGGGCCCGGAGGGTGGGGCCTTGAAGCCGCGGCGCCATCTTTGGTGAGGGCGGACGCCATTTTGTTTGAGGGCGGGCGCCATTTTGTGTGTGGGCAAAAGCAGTGGGGTTTAACTGCGGGCGCCATTTTGTGTGAGGGCGGGCGCCATTTTGTCTGTGGGCAAAAAGGGCGGGGTTTAACTGCGGGCGCCATTTTGTGTGAGGGCGGGCGCCATTTTGTGTGTGGGCAAAAAGGGCGGGGTTTAACTGCGGGCGCTACTTTGCGTGAGGGCAGAAAGGGGCGGGGCTTAAATTCGGGCGCCATTTTGAGTGAGGGCAAGTGGGCGGCGCCATGTTGGCTAAGGGCCAAAAAGAGGGCGGGGCTAAGAGCAGGAGGCCCCGCCCCGCTCCCTGTCGCCCTTTGCACGGTTTTGGGGGCGGGAGGAGGTGGGGGGGGGGGGGGATGAATCGATGATTAATTAACAGCGACCCCTCCCCCCCCCTCACAGGACACGGGTGACCCCCCCCGCCCCCTCAAGGGGACTTCGCCCCCCCCTCCCATCCCTCCCCCCCCCACCTAAAGCTGTCCCTGCACTGCGCCAGGTACGGAGCGGGACCAGACACTGGGACCCCCTGGGACCCCCCCAATCACCCGGGACGCCCCCCAAACCCCCCAATCACCTGAGACCCCCCCGGGAACCCCCCAATCACCTGAGACCCCCCCAAACCCTCCATTCCCCCCCCCAAACCGAGACCCCCCCACCCAAACCCCACCAGGGTCACCCCCCCTACCCCCTGGTGACCCCTGACCTCGGTGTCCCCCCCAGAATTTTGGGTTCCTGACCCCTTGGGACCCCCCCCAATTCCCTGGGACCCCCCCATGACCCCGGGTCCCTTTTCTTTCCAGGCTGCTGCACTTTGGGGACCCCCCTGGGACCCCCCCAAAGCTCCTGGGTCACTCCTGACTCTCCCTGACCCCTTGTGACCCCCTAAATCCCCTGTCACCCCCCAGGTGACCCCCTGACCTTTTGTGACCCCTTAAATCTGTGACCCCCCCCGTGTCCCCCTGGTGTCCCCTCATTGTCCCCGTGTCCCCACAGCGTTCCTCGGTCCCCCCCGGGTGCTGCGCCCGTCCCCGTTCCCTCCGTGCGCGTTCCTGTGATCCCCTGACCGCTGTCCCCGTGTCCCCGCGGTGTCCCTGTGTCCCCTCCTTGTCCCTGTGTCCCGGTGTCCCCAGTGACCCCCTCCTTGTCCCCTGTGTCCCCTCTTTGTCCCGCTGTCCCCTCACTGTCCCTGGTGTCCGTCTGTCCCCCTCACTGTCCGTCTGTCCCCCCCGCCCTGGCTCTCTCGTGGCCGTTCCCTCTGGTGTCTCTCCTGTGACCCCCATTGCCCAGTGTCCCCTCACTGTCCCCTTATCCTGGTGTCCACTCCTTGTCCCCGTGTCCCCTCACTGTCCGTCTGTCCCGGTGTCCCCTCAGTGTCCGTCTGTCCGTCCCCCGCCCTGGCTCTCTCGTGGCCGTTCCCCGCCGGGCGCGCTCCCGGCGCTCTCGGCCGCCTTCCTGCAGGTGGCGCTGGTGAGCGGCTCCGTGCGCGCGCTCGGGCTGTGCCTCCCGCCCCTGGGCGGCGCCTTCGGGGCCGCGGCCCGCGCGCAGGCCTGGGTGGGCTCCTGCCCCCTGGCGGCGCTGCAGCTCGGGGGTAAGACGGACTGACAGACAGACACACGGACACTGGGAATGGACACACGGACAGACAGACGGACACTGGGGGTGATGGGGGTGATGGGTGGGCTCCTGCCCCCTGGCGGCGCTGCAGCTCGGGGGTAAGACGGACAGACAGACAGATTGACAGACCACACGGACAGACAGACGGACACTGGGAGTGATGGGGGAATTGGGGGTGATGGGGGAACTGGGTGGGCTCCTGCCCCCTGGCGGCGCTGCAGCTCGGGGGGTAAGAAAGAGCGACAGACAGAGAGACGGACGGACAGACGGACAGTGGGAATGGACACACGGACGGACAGACCGACAGACAGACAGACACACTGGGAATGGACACACGGATGGACAGACCGACAGACGGACAGACAGACACATTGGGAATGGACACACGGACAGACAGATGGACAGACAGACACTGGGGGTGATGGGGGTGATGGGGGGAACTGAGTGGGCTCCTGCCCCCTGGCGGCGCTGCAGCTCGGGGGTAAGACTGACAGACTGACGGACAGACAGACGGACAGACACTGGAAATGGACACACGGAGGGACCGGGACTCACTGGGGGCAATGGGAGAACTGGGGCAGTGAGACTGGGAGGGACTGGGAGGGGACACTGGGACCCACTGGGAACACTGGGAGTGATGGGGGAACTGGGAGCACTGGGAGGGGCTGGTGGGGCTCTCCCAGTGCTCCCAGTGCTCCCAGTAACACCATTCCCCCCCCCCCCCCCCAGGCCCATTGGCGGCAGCGCTCAGTGCCCGGTTCGGCCCCCAGGGGCGTGGCCATGGCCGGGGGGGGCCCTGGCGGGGGCGGGGCTGGTCCTGGGAGCCTTCGCCACCCGCCTGGAACACCTGTACCTGAGCCTGGGGGGGCTGACAGGTACTGGGATAAACTGGGATAAACTGGGATGAACTGGGGAACACCTGTACCTGAGCCTGGGGGGGCTGACAGGTACTGGCATAAACTGGGATAAACTGGGATGAACTGGGGAACACCTGTACCTGAGCCTGGGGGGGCTGACAGGTACTGGGATAAACTGGGATAAACTGGGATGAACTGGGGAACACCTGTACCTGAGCCTGGGGGGGCTGACAGGTACTGGGATAAACTGGGATAAACTGGGGAACACCTGTACCTGAGCCTGGGGGGGCTGACAGGTACTGGGATAAACTGGGGGACCTAAAACCCAAACCCTCACGTCCCTCACCCCACAGAATGACCTAGAACCCTTAAACCCTCACATAACCCCACAGAATGACCCAGAACTGGAGCGAACTAATCACCCACCCCACAGAACGATGTAGAACCTTCCTAAACCATGTCTAACCCCACAGAACAATCTAGAACCCTCCCAAACCCCTGTCTAACCCCACAGAACAATCTAGAACCCCCCCAAACCCCGGTGTCCCCACAGGCCTGGGCTGGTCCCTGTCCTTCACGCCGGCCCTCGGTGCCGTGTCCCGCTGGTTCCCGCGCCGCCGCGCCCTCGCCACCTCCGTCGCCGTCTCGGGCGCCGCCGTCTCGGGCCTGGCGCTGGCCCCGCTCCTCCCTCCCGCCCTGGACTCCTACGGCTGGCGCGGCGCCCTCCTCCTCCTCGCCGCCGTCTCCCTGCACCTCGTGGCCGCCGCCGCCCTCCTCCGCCCTCCTCCTCGCACCCCTCGGGAGCCGCCGGAACCTTCCGGGACCCTCCTGCGGCTGCTGCGCCACGGGCCCTTCCTGCGCTACGCCGCCGCCTTCGCCCTGCTGGATTTGGGCTACTACGTCCCCTTCGTGCACGGCGCCGGCCGCGCGCTGGAGCTGGGCCCTCGACGGCCGCGCCGCCGCCGCCGTGGTGGCCGCCATGGCGGCGCTGGACGGCGCCGGGCGCTTGGCGGCCGGTTGGTTGGCGGAGCGGCCGGCGGCGGCGCTGCTGAGGCAGCTGGCGGCCTGGGCGGCGCTGGCGGGGTTGGTTGCGCTGGCGACGCCGTTGGGGACGAGTTTCGGGGCGCTGGCGGCGCTGGCGGCGGCGTACGGGGGCTGCGCCGGGGCCGTGGCGCCGCTGCAGTTCGCCGGCGTGGCGCAGGTGGTGGGGGGCCGGACGGGCGGCCATGGCCATCGGGGTCATGCAGATGGTGGAGAGCGTGGGGTCCCTGCTGGGGGCGCCGCTGGCCGGTACGGGGCGCAACGGGGGGCAATAATGGGGGGCACTGGGAGGGTTGGGGGGCACTGGGTGGGGGGTGGGGGAAAGCGGGGGTGGGTTGGGGGGTCTGGAACTCAACATGGGGGGAGAAGCCAAGGGTGGGTTGGGGGTTGTGAATGGGTTGGGTGACCCAGAATCCACCATGACCTCATTTTGGGGGGGTCCCGTGTAGGGGACAATGGAGTGGGATGGGGGTTGGGTGCCCTAAAACCCATTGGGGGGCACCCAAGGGTGGGTTGGGGCTCATGGATGGGTTGGGTGACCCAGAATCCACCATTTTGGGTGGCTCCTGACCCCCCCCAACGCCGCCATTTTGGGTGCTTCCAGACTCCTCCCAACGCCGCCATTTTGGGTGGTTCCACACCCCCCAACGCCGCCATTTTGGGTGGTTCCAGACCCACCCTCCCAACGCCGCCATTTTGGGCGGTTCCACACCCCCCCAACGCCGCCATTTTGGGTGGTTCCACAACCCCTCCCAACGCCGCCATTTTGGGCGGTTCCACACCCCCCAACGCCGCCATTTTGGGTGGTTCCAGACCCCCCCCAACGCCACCATTTTGGGTGGTTCCAGAACCTCCCAATGCCGCCATTTTGGGTGGTTCCAGACTCCTCCCAATGCCGCCATTTTGGGTGGTTCCAGACTCCTCCCAACGCCGCCATTTTGGGTGGTTCCACACCCCCTCCAACGCCGCCATTTTGGGTGGTTCCAGACTCCTCCCAATGCCGCCATTTTGGGTGGTTCCACAACCCCCCCCAACGCCGCCATTTTGGGTGGTTCCTGACCCCCCGCCCCCCAACGCCGCCATTTTGGGTGGTTCCAGACTCCTCCCAACGCCACCATTTTGGGTGGTTCCACACCCCCCAACGCCGCCATTTTGGGTGGTTCCAGACCCCCCAACCCCAACGCCGCCATTTTGGGTGGTTCCAGACCCTCCCCAACCCCAACGCCGCCATTTTGGGTGGTTCCAGACCCTCCAACGCCGCCATTTTGGGTGGCTCCAGACCCTCCCAACGCCGCCATTTTGGGTGGTTCCAGACCCTCCAATGCCGCCATTTCCCCCCAGGTTGGCTGCGTGACGTCACCGGCGACTTCACCGTCTCCTTCCTGGCGGCCGGCGCCTTCCTCCTGGCCTCGAGCCTCCTCATCCTCACCCTGCCCCCGGCGCCCCCCGAGCCCCCCCCGAGCCCCCCCGAGCCGCTCTAGAACCGCCCAAGTGACCCCAAAATGTGACCCCCGGCTCTCGTCCTTTGGGGGGGGGGATGGGAGGGGTGGGTCTGGGGCCACCAATGGGGGGGGGGGGGTTGATGGAGGGGGGGGTCAGAGGGGGACCCCCCAAAAATGGCCTTGGGGGGGTGGGTCTGGGTTTTTTGGGGTTTTTTTGGGTTTTTTTTGACGTCTTTTACCCTTGGTTTTAGGGTTTTTTTGGGTCTTTTAGTCCCTCCGTTTTGGGGTATTTGGGTTTTTTTGGGGTTTCAGGGCGATTTTGTGGTGTTTGGGGGTTTTTGGTTTGGGTTTTTTTTTTCGTTTTTGGGGGAGGAGTTTAAAAATTTTTCCTGGGGTCTTTTTTTGGTTTTTTTTGGGTTTTTTTTGGCTTTTGGTGGTTTTTTGGCGGGGTGGGTTGGGGGGATTTTTTTTAGTTTTTTTCCAGTTGGTTTGAGGGTTTTTTGGGGTATTTAGCTTTTTTTGCAGTTATTTGAGGATTTTGGAGGGGGGGGGTTGGGGTTTTTTGAGTTTTTTTTTATTTTTGTAGGTTTTAAATTTTTTTTTTGTTTGGTTTTTTTGGTTTTTTGGGGATGATTTGGGGCGGGGTCAGTTCGAGGTTTGGTTCTAGACCACCCAAGTGAATTTTGATCAAACCCTGCCTTTATTCCATTGGCTGCTGCCCGAGGAGGGGGCGTGGTTCTGCGGGATGGGCGTGGCTTTGCCGAGGGGGCGGGGCTAAAGGGTGGAGTGTTTGGGGGGAGGGGCCCGGGCGAGTTTCTCGGGGTGGTCCGAGGCCATCAGGGAGATGTCGCGGAAGATGTCGAGGTAGGTGTCGTCACCTGGGGGTGGAAGGGGAGGGAACCCCGAATTTGGGACCCCCAAAAATCAGAGATCTCCCCCCCCACCAAAATCCACAGATTCCACCCTAAAATTCCCACGTGAACCCTCCAAATTCTGAGATTCCACCCAAAATCCACTCCCTTCCTCCGAGGCCACCCCAAACTTGAGAAAACTCTCTGAGGATCACAGGAGCCCCCCAAAAACAACCCAGGACCCCCTGAAACTCCACCCCTGATGCCCCTCAGGACCTCCCCAAATTCAGGGACTCCCCCCAAAATCCCAGAGACCCCCCCCCAAAATCCCTGGGACTCCGCCTCAAACCCACCGGTCTGTCCCTGGGCCACCTCCAGCTCTCTCATCTTGGCCAATCGCAGCCTGAGGAGGGGATTTGGGGTCACATTTTGGGGGGGGTCACATTTGGGGTGTCCCCCCCCCGAGCCGAGGGTGCCCCCCAGGGGTCTCACAGGGTGACGATGTCGGCGTTGGCCAAGTCCATGGCGATGGTCAGGGGGTCCCTCCCGTCCGCGTCCACCGCGTTGACGTCGGCCCCCCGCTTCAGGAACAGGCAGGCCAGGCTGCAATTTGGGGAGGGGGACATGGAGGGGGCGTTTTGGGGACATTTTGGGGACATTTTGGGTCATGAGGGATGCTGGGATTCCAGGGGACGTAGCAAGGTTGAGGTCACCCATCCAGGCCCTGACCAGGGCAGACCCTGCTTAGCTTCCCATGTGGAAAACTGTGCTGGGGACCTTCCAAAATGGGGAGAATTTTGAGAGATTTGGGGGTTTTGCATCCCCAAAAGGGAAATGGGACACCCAGCAATGGGATTGGGGCTCTCTATAGGGGAAGAGGCCACCCAGAATGGAATAAGGTTCCTTCCAAGGGAATATGGATCTCTGGATGGAAGAGAGACCCCCTAAAGGCAAAAGGGAACCCCAGAAATGGAATAGACACCCCCAAAAATGAAATAGGGACCCTCTAAAAAAATACAGACCCCCAATAATAGAAGGGATACCCCTAAAGGGAAAAAATGCAGGCCAAAGGAACTGGGACCCCCCCAAAAGTATTTAGGCACTGCTCCCAAATTGTAGCACCCCCAAAAATGGATCAGGGACCCCCATAAAAGGCAATAGGACCCCATAGAGAGAAACAGGACCCCCAAAAGGAAATGAACCCTCCAAAAAAAAGCGGGTGAACCCTCTCCAAATAACCCAGTTCAGGTCGCCCATCCAGGCCCTGACCAGGGCAGTTCCTGCTTAGCTTCGCGCACATCCAACGTAGGGGTGAGCAACGCCACCATTCACCAAATGGGGGTGAATCAGGGTCCCCCTCCCAGTCGCTCCCAGTCCCTCCCAGTGCCCTCCCAGTTGCCCCCAGTACCCACCCGGTGTGTCCCAGCATGGTGGCGTGGTGCAGCGGGCCCCGCCCGCAGCTGTCGCTCTGGTTGACGCTGGCCCCGTTCTGCAGCAGGAACTCGCAGGCCAGCAGGGAATTCTCAGGGAAAGGGGAAGGGGAGGGGAGGGGACAGACTCAGGGACCCCTCCCCAAAACAGGAGAACCCTCCCAGTGCTCCCAGTTACCACGGCCATGGCCTCCAGCAGGGGGGTGCTGCCATAACCTCCCCCAAAACTCTCCTCGAAACCACCCCAAAATAACCCCAAAACACCCGAAAAAAAACCAAGAAAAAAACTCCTAAATCCCCCCTAAAATGCTTCCCCAGGGATTTCAGGGACCCTCCAAAAACCTGAGGAAAAATCACCCCCACAGAACCCCCGAAACCCCACAGTGGGGTTTCCTCCCAGTGCTCCCAGTTTGCTCCCAGTTACCACAGCCATGGCCTCCAGCAGGAGGTGCTGCTGCCATAACCTCCCCCAAAACTCTCCTCAAAACCACCCTAAAATCACCCCAAAACCCCAAAAAAATCCCCAAACCCCCCCTAAAATGCTTCCCCAGGTAACCCCCAAGAGCTTCCCCAGGGATTTCAGGGACCCTCCAAAAACCTGACAGGAAAAAACCAAAACCCCAGGAGCCCCGAAACCCCACAGTGGGGTTGCCTCCCAGTGCTCCCAGTTTGCTCCCAGTGCTCCCAGTTTGCCCCCAGTTACCACGGCCACGGCCTCCAGCAGGGGGGTGCGGTTGCCCTCGGCGCTGTTGGCCCAGCCGGGGTCGGCGCCCTGGGCCAGCGCCTCGGCCATGGTGCGCAGGCGGCGCCGCCGGGCGGCCCAGGACAGCAGAGCCCCGGGGTGCAGGCAGGGGGCGCCCTCGGGCTCGGCGGGATCCGGGGGCGGAGCTAAGGGGACACGCCCGTGCTGTGTAAGACACGCCCACCCGCAGGAAAACCACGCCCACCCAGAGAGAACCACGGCCGTGCTCATTGGAGACCACCCCCAAACCCCCCAAGGAGGGAATGGGACAGGAGTGGGTTTAGGCCACGCCCACTTGTAGGGGGGACACGCCCATAATTGATATGAGAAGCTCCACCCACCAGGGAACAAGCCACACCCAGTGGATGAGAAGCCACTCCCACAACAAGCATTAGAAATAAGCCCCACCCACCAAGGAACAAGCCACACCCATTGGATGAGAAGCCACGCCCATAAAAGATGCCACAAACAAGCCACACCCATTTTCTGTGAAGCCACACCCACAACAAACCACCAATAAGCCCCACCCACCAAGGAACAAACGCCTCCCATTAATAAGAATGACAAGCCCCGCCCACAACAGCCAGCACAAACAAGCCACACCCACCAGGGAACAAGCCACACCCATTGGCTGTGAAGCCACGCCCACAGCACTTGCAGCAGCCTATCAAAATTCAGCCCTAACACAAGCCATGCTCCCTAAGCCACACCCACATAATTAACCCCTAATTAATAATGCAAGCCCCACCCCTTCATCAAGTCCCACCCATTTTCATTAAGCACCTCCCATTTACAACAAACTCCAGTGCTTTCCTACCAAGCCACGCCCCTTCACAACAAGCTCCACCCCTTCACAAGCCCCCCCCATTTCTCCCCAAGCCCCGCCCCTTTCCCCCCACCTCCATCTCCATTACCTTGGGCAGGGCCCCCTCGGGGGGCGGGGCTTGGTCTGGGGGCGTGTCCCTGGCGCGAGGGGCGTGGCCTGGGGGCGTGTCCGGCCACGCCCCTCACGAATCGCTTCTCCACGTACTTGGCCCGGATCCAACTCTCGCGCTGGGCCCTGGGGGGATCCGGGGACATGGGGGGGACTGGGGGGGCCAGGGGGGAATTTGGGGGGACCTGGGGGAGCTTTGAGGGGTTTTGGGGGGGGTCCCGGGGGGGTTTTGGGGGGAATTCTTGGGGGGGTCCCAGGGGATTTGGGTCATTTTGGGGGAGCCTTGGAGCGGCTTTGAGGGGATTTTGGGGGTTTTTGGTGGGTCCTGAGGGAATTTGGGGGTCCTGAGGGTGTCTGGGGGAGGTTTCGGGGGGTCCTGGGTGATTTGGGGGGGTCCTAAGGGGGTTTGGGGGAGATTGGGAAGAGGTTTTGGGGGGGTCCTGGGGTCTCAGGGGTTTTTGGGGTGAATTTGGGGTTTTTTGGGGGGATTCTCACCGGGAGCAGCTCAGGGGGAGTCTCAGGGGTTTTTGGGGGTAAATTTTTGGGTTTTTTGGGGTGAATTTGGGGTTTTTTTGGGGGATTCTCACCGGGAGCAGCTCGGGGGAGTCTCAGGGGTTTTTTGGGGTGAATTTGGGATTTTTTTCGGGGGGATTCTCACCGGGAGCAGCTCGGGGGAGGTTTGAGGTAATTTTTTGGGTTTTTTGGGGTGAATTTGGGATTTTTTTGGGGTGAATTTGGGTTTTTTTTGGGGGGATTCTCACCGGGAGCAGCTCGGGGGGGGTCTCTTGACCCCCATCTCCTCCACCCGCGCCTCATAAATCCCGTTCAGGGCCAGGTTCCCCAGGGAGCACATCAGCTGGGGGACCCCAAAAACCACTCAAAAATACCCCAAAAACCACTCAAAAATACCCCAAAAAACCCCAAATCCACCCCAAAATACCCCAAAATCAGCTGGGGGACCCCAAAAACCACTCAAAAATACCCCAAAAACTCCCAAATCCACCCCAAAATACCCCAAAATCAGCTGGGGGACCCCAAAAACCACTCAAAAATACCCCAAAAACTCCCAAATCCACCCCAAAATACCCCAAAATCAGCTGGGGGACCCCAAAACCCCCCAAATCAGCCTGGGACCCCAAATTGCCCCCCAAAAATACTCTGGGACCCCCCCCCCAAAACACACCCGAGACCCCCAAAAGTTCCCCCCAGGGCCCCCCAAAGACCCCCCCCAAAAATCTCCCCCAAAAAAACCCCAAAAAATCCCCAAATCTCCCCCCAAAAATCCCAAATCTGCCCCAAAATCCCTCCAGGGACCCCTCAATCCCTTCCCAGTTTGATCCCAGTTTGATCCCAGTTTGCTCCCAGTTTGATCCCAGTCCCTCCCAGTTTGATCCCAGTCCCTCCCAGTTTGATCCCAGTCCCTCCCAGTTTGCTCCCAGTTCCCCTCTCACCTTCACCAGTTCGGGTTCCCACGAGTCCAGGGTGAGCGAGCGAACCTTGGAGAAGTGAACCCCCAAACTCCTGCGGGGTCAGGGCCGGTCAGGGGGACCCCAAAAAAAACCCAAAAAACAACAGAAAAACCCCCAAAAAATCTCCTCAAAATCCCCCAAAATCCCCCCAAAAAAAACCAAAAAAAAGGACAAAAAAAAAAAAAAAAACAAAAAAATCCCCCAAAAAATCCCCCAAAAATCCCCCCAAATCCCCCCAAAATCCCCTCAAAATCCTCCCAAAAATCCCCCCAAAATCCCCCCAAAAAACCAAAAAAAAGGACAAAAAAACCCCCCAAAAAATCCCCCCAAAATCCCCCAAAATCCCCCCAAAAAACCAAAAAAAAGGACAAAAAAAAAAACCCCAAAAAATCCCCCAAAAAATCCCCCAAATCCCCCCAAAATCCCCAAAAAATCCCCTCAAAATCCTCCCAAAAATCCCCCCAAAATCCCCCCAAAAACCAAAAAAAAGGACAAAAAAACCCCCCAAAAAATCCCCCAAATCCCCCCAAAATCCCCTCAAAATCCTCCCAAAAATCCCCCCAAAAATCGCCTCAAAAATCCCAAAAAAATCCCCTCAAAAATCCCCCCAAAATCCCCTCAAAAAATCCCCCCAAAAATTCCCCCCAAAATCCCCCCCAAAAAATCCCCTCAAAAATCCCCAAAAATCCTCCCAAAAATCCCCTCAAAAATCCCCCAAAAATCCTCCCAAAAATTCCCCCCAAAAAATCCCGCAAAATCCCCCCCAAAAATCCCAAAAAATTCCCCCCAAAATCCCCCAAAAAATCCCCTCAAAAACCCCCAAAAATCCTCCCAAAAATCCCCCCAAAAATCCTCCCAAAAATCCCCTCAAAACCCCCCCAAAATCGCCTCAAAAATCGCCCCAAAAAATCCCCCAAAAATCCCCCAAAAAATCCCGCAAAATCCCCCCAAAAATCCCCCCCAAATCCTCCCAACATCCCCCCAAAATCCCCCAAAAATCCCCAAAAAATCCCCCAAAAATCTCCTCAAAATTTCCCCAAAATCCCCAAAAACCCACAAAAAAAACCTGAAAAAAAACTCCATAAAACCCGTAAAAAACTGAAAAAATCCCCAAAATAATTCCCCACCAAAACTTCCCCACAAAAAACCCCAAAAATCCCAAAAAAAGCCCTAAAAAAACCCCAAAATCCCCCCAAAATAAGTTTCTCAAAAAAAACCCCAAATTAAAAAAAAATCTCCAAAAAATCCCCAAAACCCCACAAAAAACCTCTAAAAAAACCCTCCAAAAAACCCCAAAAAAACCCAAAAAAACCCCAAAAAATCCCAAAAAACCCCAAAAAAACCCCAACCCCCCCCCCCCCAAAAATAACCCCAAAAAAATCCAAAAAAAAAACCCCAAAACCATGGGAAAGGAAACCCCGAAAACAAAAAAGCCCCGGGGGTTTTGGGGTTTTTTAATGGATTTTAATGGGGATTTTAATGGGATTTTTTGTGTTTTTAATGGGATTTTTTGGGGTTTTTTTTAGGATATTTTAATTTTGGGTTTTTTTGGGGTGTTCCCCCCCGGTTTTTGGGGTGTCCCACCTGTGGATGGCCGAGCACTGGATGCACAGGGTGAAGATTTCAGGTATAATTCGGTTCCCAATAATGGGATTTCAATGGGGTTTTTTTGGGGTTTTTTGGGGTGTATTTTTCCCCAGGGTTAATTTTGGGGTTTTTTGGTGTTTTTGGGGTGTCCCACCTGTGGATGGCCGAGCACTGCATGCATAGGGTGAGGATGAATTTGAATTTTAGGTGTATTTTAGTGCCCGTTAATGCGATTTCAATGGGATTTTTTTTGTTTTTTATGGGATTTTTTTGGGGGTTTTTTTGGGGAATATTTTATTTTTTTGCTATTTTTGGGGTTCAGGGGTGTTTTTGGGGTGTCCCACCTGTGGATGGCCGAGCACTGGATGCACAGGGTGAGGATGAATTTGGGATTTTAGGTGTAATTCGGTTCCCAATAATGCGATTTTAATGGGATTTTTTGGGGGTTTTTTGGGGTTTTTTGGGGCTTTTTGGGGTGTATTTTTTCCCAGGGTTAATCTTGGGGTTTTTTGGTGTTTTTTGGGGTGTCCCACCTGTGGATGGCCGAGCACTGCATGCACAGGGTGAGGATGGAATTTGAATTTTAGGTGTATTTTAGTGCCCGTTAATGCGATTTCAATGGGATTTTTTTTTGTTTTTAATGGGATTTTTTTGGGGGTTTTTTTGGGATATTTTATTTTTTTGCTATTTTTGGGGTTCAGGGGTGTTTTTTGGGGTGTCCCACCTGTGGATGGCCGAGCACTGGATGCACAGGGTGAGGATGAATTTGAATTTTGGGTGTATTTTAGTGCCCGTTAATGCGATTTCAATGGGATTTTTTGGGGATTTTTCGGGATTTTTTTTGGGTTATTTTATTTTAGGGTAATTTTTGGGGTTCAGGGGTGTTTTTGGGGTGTCCCACCTGTGGATGGCCGAGCACTGGATGCACAGGGTGATGCCCAGGTTGACGCTGGCCCATTCTGGCCGGGGCTCCCTGCAGTCGCAGCAGCTCCCGTTCCCCTCCAGCCCCAAAATCGCCCCCAAAACCGGGGGGGGCTCCGGGGGGGGCCCCGACAGCGACCCCGCCCTGGGGGGCACCTGGGGGGGAGGGGGGAAGAGAAATTTGGGGGAAATTTGGGGGAATTTGGGGGAAATTGGGGGAAATTTGGGGGGGATTTGGGGGAATTTGGGGGGAAATTAGGGGAAATTTGAGGGGGTTTTGGGGGGAAATTTGGGGGATTTTGGGGGGAAATTTGGGGGAAATTTGGGGGGGATTTGGGGGAAATTTGGGGGGGTTTTGGGGAATTTGGGGGAAATTTGGGGGAAATTTGGGGGGCATTTTGGGGGGGATTTGGGGGAATTTGGGGGGAAATTTGGGGGAAATTTGGGGGGGATTTTGGGGGAGATTTGGAGGCGATTTGGGGGAAGTTTGGGGAGGTTTTGGGGGGGTTTGGGGGGATTTTGGGGACCCTTTTAGGGCGGATTTGGAGCCATTTTTGGGGGGGATTTGGGGCCATTTGGGGGGGTTGGGGACCTTTTTGGGGGGCGATTTTGGGGTTTTAGGCGCCTTTCGGGGGAAATTTTGGGGGGATTTTGGGGACTCTTCTAGGGGGGGATGTGGGGGGGGTTTGGGGCTGTTCTGGGGGGGATTTGGAGCCATTTTTGGGGAGATTTGGGGGGGATTTTGGGGTATTTGGGGAAGTCTGGGTGGGATTTTGGGCCATTCTGGGGTGTTTGGGGACGGTTTTGGGATATTTTAGGGTATTTTTTTTGCTCTTTAGGGATATTTTAGGGTATTTTTTTCTCTCTGGGGATACTTTGGGGTTTTCTTTCTGCTCTTTATGGATATTTTGGGGTATCCTCTTTTTGGATATTTTTTTCCTTTTTGGGGATATTTTGGGGTATTTTTTTCCCCTTCATGGATATTTTAGGCTATTTTTTTTCCTCTTTAAGGATATTTTAGGGTATTTTTTTTCCTCTTTCGGGATATTTCAGGGTATTTTCTTGCTCTTTGGGGATATTTTAGGGTAATTTATGGATATTTCAGGGTATTTTTTTCCCCTTTATGGATACTTTGGGGTATTTTTTTTCCCCTTTAGGGATATTTTGGGCTATTTTTTTTCCCCTTTATGGATATTTTAGGGTATTTTTTTTTTTTTGCTCCTTATGGACATTTCAGGGTATTTTTTTCCCCTTTATGGATATTTTGTGCTGGTTTTTTCCCCCTTCATGGATATTTTAGGGTAATTTTTTTCCTCTTTAAGGATATTTTAGGGTATTTTTTTTCCTCTTTCGGGATATTTCAGGGTATTTTTCTTGCTCTTTAGGGATATTTTGGGGTAATTTATGGATATTTTAGGGTATTTTTTCCCCTTCATGGCCATTTTGTGCTATTTTTTTCCCCTTTATGGATACTTTGGGCTATTTTTTTTCCTTTTTGGGGACATTTTAGGGTTATTTTCCCCCCTTTTTGGCCGTTCCGCGCTGTTCCCCACCGTCTGTGGCGGCGCCCCCTGGCTGTAGGCGCAGGCGATCCCGCTCTGCACGGCGCTCACCCAGCGCTGCTGCCCCGGGCCCGAGTCCGCCTGCAGCACGCACGACCTGGGGGGGGAAAAGGGGGGATTTGGGGTCCTCAAAGGAGATTTGGGGTCACCTGGGGGGATTTGGGGTTCCCGAGGGGGGTTTGGGGTCTTTTCCTGCAGTTTTGGGGTCATTTAGGGGCAGATTTGGGGTCCCCAAGGGGGATTTGGGGTCACCTGGGGGATTTTGGGGTTCCCGAGGGGGGATTTGGGGTCATTTAGGGGCAGATTTGGGGTCCCCAGGGGGAGGTTTGGGGTCACCTGGGGGGGTTTGGGGTCATTTAGGGGCAGATTTGGGGTTCCCAAGGGGGGTTTGGAGCTCCCTGGTTTTGGGGATTGGGAGATTTTGGGGTTTCCTCAAGGTTTTTGGGGTCACCTGGGGGAGTTTGGAGTCCCCAAGGGGGATTTGGGGTCATTTAGGGGCAGATTTGGGGTCCCCAAGGGGGGGATTTGGGGTCATTTAGGGGCAGATTTGGGGATCCCAGGAGGGTTTGGAGCTCCCTGGTTTTGAGGATTGGGAGATTTTGGGGTCCCCAAGGGGGAGTTTGGGGTTCCCAAGGGGGTTTTGGGGTTGCCAGGTGGGTTTTTGGGGTCTTTTCCTGCAGTTTTGGGGCAGATTTGGGGATCCAGGGGGGTTTGGAGCTCCCTGGCTTTGGGGATTGGGAGATTTTGGGGTCCCCAGGTGGATTTTGGGGTCCCCCCCGGGATTTTTTGGGGTCCCTCGAGGAGAATTTTGTGAATTTTAGGGGCGATTTTTGAGCCTCCACCTTTGAAAATTGGGATTTTTTTTGGGGTCCCCCTCAGGTTTTTGAATCCCCCGAAATTTTGGGGTCCCCCCGGGATTTTTGGGATCCCCTCCGGTATTTTTGGGGTCCCCTCGAGGTTTTTTGGGGTCTCACTTGGAGGGGGAGACGACCTCGAAGCAGAAGCGGCGCTCGAGGTCGGGGCAGGGTTTGACCGTGCAGAGCCTCAGGTCCTCGATCACCACCGTGGGGGGGTCCTGGGGAACCCCAAAATCTCACCCGGGGGGGTCCCCCCCAAAAATCCTGAACCCCCTCCCCCCTTTAAAACACCAAACCCTGAATTTGCTGCGAAAAAAACCCCCAAAAAATCCTAAAATAACCTCAAAAATCAGTCCCGAAAATCTGCCCCAGAGCCCCCAAAATCCCCCCCAAGATCCCCCAAAACCTCCCCAGAACCCCCAAAATTCCCCCAAAATGCCCTCAAATCACCCCAGGACCCCCCAAAATTCCCCTGAAATTCCCTCAAAATCCCCTCAGGACCCCCCAAGATCCCCAAAACCTCCCCAGGACCCCCAAAATCCCCGCCCAAATTCCTCCAAATCCTCCCAAAATTCCCTCAAAATCCCCTCAGGGACACCCCCAAAATCCTCCCCAGGACCCCCAAAAATGTCCCTAAAATTCCCCCAAAATCCTCCTCAGGACCCCCCAAAATCCCCCCAAAAACTCCCCAGGACCCTCAAAAATGCCCCAAAAATTCCCCAAAAAATTCCCCCAAACCCCTCCAGGACCCCCCAAAATCCTCCCCAGGACCCCCAAAATCCCCTCCCAAATTCCTCCAAATCCTCCCAAAATTCCCTCAAAATCCCCTCAGGGACACCCCCAAAAATGTCCCAAAAATTCCCAAAAAATTCCCCCAAACCCCTCCAGGAACCCCCAAAATTCCCCCAGGACCCCCAAAAATGTCCCTAAAATTCCCCCAAAATTCTCCCCAGGACCCCCAAAATCCCCCCAAAAACTCCCCAGGACCCCCAAAAATACCCCAAAAATTCCCCAAAAAATTCCCCAAACCCCTCCAGGAACCCCCAAATCCTCCCCAGGACCCCCAAAATCCCCTCCCAAATTCCTCCAAATCCTCCCAAAATTCCCTCAAAATCCCCTCAGGGACCCCCCAAAAATGTCCCAAAAATTCCCAAAAAATTCCCTCAAACCCCTCCAGGAACCCCCAAACCCCTCCAGGACCCCCCAAATCCCCCGGGTCCCCCCAAATTCCACCCACTCGGGCCCGTTTCAGGTAGAGCAGTTGGTTGCTCTGGATGAAGAACCAGCGCCTGCATGGGGAGGGAAAAAAGGAAAAATTTGGGGCTTTTTGGGGAAAATTGGGGCGGTTTGGGGTTTTTGGGGGGATTTTGGGGTCGTTTGAGGGAGGTTTTGGGGTATTTGGGGGTAATTTTGTGGTTTTTTGGGTGTTTTGAGGCGCTTTGGCGTGATTTTAGGGCATTTTCGGGAATTTTGGGATGTTTGGGGTGGTTTTTGTCTATTTTGGGGCGTTTTGGGGTGTTTAGGGTGATTTAGGGATGATTTTGGGGTATTTTGGGATGATTTTGGGGTGGTTTGGGGAATTTGGGGATATTTTGGGGTGGGTTTTGGCATTTCAGGGATTTTGGGGTGTTTGGGGTCTATTTTGGGGTATTTTTGGGGTATTTTGGGGTGGTCAGGGTATTTTGGGACGATTTTGGGATGTTTGGGGTGGTGTGGGGAATTTTGGGATATTTCGGGGTGGGTTTTGGCATTTGGGGTATTTTGGGGGGTTTTGAGGCATTTTTGGGGCACTTTGGGGTATTTTGGGGTGTTCAGGGTGGTTTGGGGGCGGTTTTGGGGCTCTGGGGGTGATTTTGGGGTGATTTCGGGCGGTTTTGGTACCTGCTCCAGGTGCGGAAGGCGTTGCTCGCTCTCTTGTACAGGTAACCCTGAATGGGCGGAGCCTCAGGCCCCGCCTCCCCCGTGGCCACGCCCACCTCCTCCTGTGACAGGTCCTGGCAGCCGCCAATCAATACAAGCCCCGCCCACAGCCCCGCCCCACCAAAACCCACGCCCCCTCCTCCTAGAGCTGTCAATCAAATTGGTGCCACCTCCAAGCTGTCAATCAACTTTAACACAGCTGCCAATCAAAGTCTGGCCACGCCCCTCCTCGAGCTGTCAATCAAGCAGATCCCATCCCAAGCTGTCAATCAAGCAGATCCCATCCCAAGCTGTCAATCAAAGGGATCCCACCCCAAGCTGTCAATCAACCGAACCCATCTCACAGCTGTCAATCAACTCCAGCCCAGCTGTCAATCAAAGCCTGACCCTGCCCAATCTCCTGTCAATCATCCAAGCTCAAGGCCTGTCAATCACAGCTTGCCCCGCCCCACTGACAGTGACCACACCCCAATCACACAGAGCCCCGCCCACCGCTCAGGCCACACCCTTTAGCGATGACCACGCCCATCTAAGCCACGCCCACACTCAAAGCAAAGCGATTCCCCCTCCATTGCTTTTAGGCCATGCCCCCTGATTTTAATAACACCCACTGACTCGGCCACGCCCCTGAGTTGACCACACCCTAAACCCTGCCCACAGAGGCCACGCCCACCCCCAGGCCACGCCCACCTGCTGCAGGAGGAGCTGCTGCCGCTGCTCCAGGTCCCGGCGCCGCCGCGCCCCCTCCAGCTGCCCCTGCTCCAACTGGGGCAAAAAACCCCAAAATTGGGGCTCAGCTGGGACCCCCCCAAACCCTGAACCCCCAAAATCGCCTTTGAGGGGTCCCTGGAGGGGTTTTGGGGACTTTTGGGGGGGATTTGGGGTTTTTTTGGGGGGCATTTTGGGGATTTCTAGGGTTTATTGGAGGGGATTTTTAGGGGGGATTTTGGGGATTTTTAGGGGTTTTTTTTGGTTTTCTGGGGGGGATTTTGGGGATTTTTAGGTTTTTTTTTGTTTTGTTTTTTTTTTCGGGGATTTTGGGGCTCACCGGAGCCCCCAGGTGTCCCCGGTAGTGATGGGTCCGGGTGGGTTTGGGGGTTTTTGGGGATCCCTGGGGCTTTTTGGGGGGGATTTTGGGGATTTTTGGGGATTTTTAGGGTTTTTTTGGGGTTTTTAGGGGGGGATTTTTAGGGTTTTTTTGGGGCGGATTTTGGGTATTTTTAGGGGTTTTTTTTTGGTTTTTTTTCGGGGATTTTGGGGCTCACCTGAGCCCCCAGGTGTCCCCGGTAGTGACGGGTCCGGGTGGGTTTGGGGGTTTTGGGGATCCCTGGGGCTTTTTGGAGAGATTTTTAGGGTGATTTTTAGGGTTTCTTTTGGAGTTTTTGGGGCGGATTTTGGGGATTTTTAGGGGTTTTTTTGGGGTTTTTTTTCGGGGGATTTTGGGGCTCACCTCTGCCCCCAGGTGTCCCTGGTAGTGATGGGTCTGGGTGGGTTTGGGGGTTTTGGGGATCCCTGGGGCTTTTTGGGGAGGATTTTAGGGGTTTTTTGGGGGGATTTTTAGGGTTTCTTTTGGGGTTTTTGGGGCGGATTTTGAGGATTTTTAGGGGTTTTTTTTGGTTTTTTTCCGGGGATTTTGGGGCTCACCTGCGCCCCCAGGTGTCCCCGGTAGTCGCGCGTCGCTGTCGCCCCCTGGTGGCCGCGGCTGAAAAATGCGGCCTGAGCCTCCAACAGCGACAGCACCTGGGGGGGGGGCAGGGGGGGGCAGGGGGGGTCAGGGGCACCCTCGGGACCCCCCCAAAACCCCGAAAACCCCGCATGGACCCCCAGACCCCTCCCCAAATTTCAGGGACACAAAAAAAACCCCCAGGACCCCAAAATCCCCCCAGGACCCCCCAATCCCTCCCCAACCCCAAGACCCTCAGAGCCCCCAAAAAGCTCCCAGGACCCCCCCAAAATTCCCCCCAAAATCCACCCAGAACCCCCAAAACTTTCCAGGAATCCCCAAATCCCCCCAGGACCCCAGAATCTCCTCAGAAACCCCTCAGGACCCCCCCAAACCCTCCCAGACCCCCCCAAGAACCGGCCCAGGATCCCCCGAACCCAAAATCTCCGAGCTCCCCAAAATCTCCCCCAAAACCCCAAAATTTCCATTTTTTGGGCCACTCAGAGACCCCAAAATCCCCTCAGAGGCTCCCCCAGACCCTCAGGGTGACCAAACCCTCCCAGAGCCCCCCCAAATCCTCAGGAACCCCCAAAAAATCCCCAAATTTTCGCTCACAAATTGCAGAATTTCCGTTTTTTGCTGATCCTGCAGCAGCTTCAGCTGTGGGGGAGGGGTGGGGTCAGGCCACGCCCTTCGGGGCCACGCCCACTGACCCCACCCCTTTGATGTCCGCCCTGGTTGACCCCACCCCTTTAGACTGGGTTAAGCCACGCCCAAACCGCACCCATTTAAGCCACGCCCACTGGCAGAATGCAACCCAGCCTCTTTTTCTGGCCACGCCCATCTTTAAGAGGAAATCGAGCCCTACCCCATTAAGCCACGCCCACCTGTTTAAGCCCCACCCATGTATATTTAAGCCCCGCCCACCTTTAGGTCAGAGCTCAGGCCTGACCATGCCCACTCTTCAAGCCACGCCCACCTTTAGGTACAGCCCAGCCCCATTGCCACACCCCTACATTTAAAGCCCCGCCCACATTCAGATTATCTACCTGGCCCCACCCTGACCACACCCACACAATTAAGCCCCACCCACCTTGAGGACACAGCCCAGCCCCCTGTCCCTCGCCACGCTCACACCCAATTAAGCCCCGCCCACCTTGAGCACGTGCTCCAGCCCCCTGGCCACGCCTTTCCCTTGTAGGCCCCGCCCTCCCCGTTTAAGCCCCGCCCACCTTGAGCACGTGCTCCAGCCCCCTGGCCCTGGCCACGCCCCTGGCCTCGCCCAGCGCCGCCGCCGCCTCCTTGGCCTCCAGGGGGCGCCTGCGCGGCGCCTCCGCGTGGTGCTGCAGCGCCCCCTGCA